TCCACCCAACTCTGTCCCAGAGCACTGCAGCCACTCCTGTCTGGGGCTGAGAAAGCAGAGCTGAGCAGCTGTGCTGCCCACCAGAGCTGGGTGACGTGACACAAGCATCACTGTAAGCCAGGTCTGGGACTGCCACCCCACTTACTTTAGGAGTGTATGTCATCTGCACTCGGGAGTCCCAGGAGCCAGTGGCCAATGGGGCAATTTCAGTAGTTCTGAAAGGCACTTGAAAAGCTCCTATCAGCACTGGGATGGTAAACAGCTCTTTTTAGCCAGGATTTCTGACCTCTGAGAGAACCAATGCCTTCTCTTCACAGACTCCTCCAGCGCCAACACATTCTAGCAGCTAACACAGGCATTCCAGCTAACACTCGGCTTCTGTCCCTGACCAGGGTAGGAAAAGGTTCTCTTACAGGTGGGAGCATTAATGCCTGCAATATTATGGTAACTCTCTAGAGGACAGTTATTACAGCAAAAAAAACCATCCAGCCCTTCAGGAATATTTCCCAGCAGCTGTTACACCACCACTGCATCGGCAGAAGCCTCATAAAAACACATCAGCCAGCACTGCACAGAGCATTGCTGCACACGCAGGGGTGAACTGTGTGCGGGGCCGTGTGCCTCCTAGGCCTGTCCATCTTTCCCTCTTTGGCACACAGCTTATTCCAGCATCACAGTTGTCAAGTCAGCAGTTGGGGCAGATGGACTTTCCGCTTTCAGCTCCCTGTTTCGCCAAAGCCACAATCTGGAGCCTGCCCACAGGGAATGTATTTCTTTCAAGAAAAAAATAAATCTCACAACGAGAAGGATGTCACTGAAGGAGCAACAATCTCTGACCTTCAGTCAACCCCAGCAGAGACACTGTGTATCTTATTAGCTTTTATTTAGCCTTATTTGTTGCTGTAGCAATGACTTTCTGAATGCACCCCAGCAATGCACAGATCCTGGCATAGCAGGGAGCTACCATTCAGTTTCCCAATGATGGAGAAAAAGCTGAAAGGCAGAGCTCCACTTAATTCCCGGTTATGAGAGTCTTGATCAGGTTTAAGTTCTGCAGTGATTCCTGATCCTAAAAAGATCCAGCAACTTGAAAGGAAATTTTGCAGTGGCTTCTATTACTAACCGGGAAAGGGAAGTCATTCCTCCTCTTTCATTGTCTTCCCACCAGGGAAGTCCCAAGTCCTGAACAGAATCCTTTGAAGGTGTTGAAGGCACTAGCGCACACAGAGATACTGCTGGAAAGCAAAGCTTTGAACAGTGAAACAAACGATGTAACCACCCCTGAGGTAAAGGGAAAAAGGGACACGCATTTGAGGTATGAGCTAAAGGGCAAGGCCCTGTGGCAAAAGGGGATGTGTGCTCCCATGCATTTCAGCTAATTTGGAGGCCAGAGTCAATTCTCTGACTGTGATGAGAACTGAAACCCACCCAGTGGCATTTCAAGGCCTTTAGAAAGTAGGTTTTTACAGGACTTTCCTAGTTAGCGTCCCTGGTAAGGACAAGTCCCCTTACAGAGACAATGCTGGCTCTGCAAAACCATTTTCTGCACACAAGTCAGCTGCTGAATGTGCAGAGGGTGTCACAGTCAGGCTACCTGCCAGAGCAGGGGAGCAGCGCCTGCGGCTCTGTCAGGGAAGGCTTGCCCTCTAAGGAAGGGGAAGACAGCAGCCAGTGAATTTCTCTTCCCTCTGTTCCCAGTGCCAGGTCCTAGATCCAGGGAGGTTGACCCAAGCACTCAGCCATGCTACTTCTACACAGACCTTTCCACAGAGACAAACCCAGCTTCTTTAGATGGAAACTGCTTCTGCAGCCACTTCAGGTAGGGTGGGTAGCCAGTTGTTCTCCCCTATCTTGCCAAGGGGTCACAGAAGCGTCTGAGCCTTTAATGAGCTCTTGCCACCCTATTATCTACTCTGTGCTCTGCTACATGGGGTCTTGTTCAACCTCCTCTTTTCTACAACTCCCGAAGAGATGAACCTTTCTTCTACCTCAACCAATGCAAAGAAGGGGTATAACATCTGAAGCGGCACTGATGCTGAACCTCCAGCCCGGACTTTGCACAGATGGCAGGCTATTGTTCCACACAACCACCTCATAGGCAGGTATCTACCACAGCTTTACTGTGCTCAGCTGGCTTTCCCAACAAGTTTAGTTTGCACCTATACATTCAAAGCCAGCACTTCTGTGCAGCCATCTCTGTGGGCCTTCTAGTGCTTAACAAGTTACACACTAGCGTTGCACACACAACTACCACATCCTTGTGGCACTCTGCATTTGTTTGGTTATGTTCAGTAGTGTTCATATTTGCTTGTAAATATACTGGGTTCCTAATTCTGAAAATGGATTTTCTCCCATGTGAGTCTGAAGAACAGGAGAGCATAAACCAGCAGGTAATTCAGGGGGGCAGGAAGCAGTTCCCATCAATAGAACAGCTACTCCTACTGTTGGAAATTACAAATCAGTAATTTCCATTAGTGTCCAGCATGGCACCTGCATGTTGTTTGGCTTAGGTGAGATGAGTGTAGGGAAAGAAGCAACAAAGGGTGAACAAATGGAGGCTGCAATTTAGCTGTAAGTCTTCCTCCTTCACTGCATGCAGGACTTCCTCCTTGCTAAGCAGAATAGGAACTGCTCTTGATATCTGTAACCTGCTGCAAATAGAAGCCTGGACAGCATAGAAAAGGGGGTGAGAAATGTCACTCATCTCTGTGCAGATCACATTTCATTCTGCATTAGCTTCTGTCATCACTGTATCATCCTCTACTCCTGGTGTCAACACTAGGTATCTGTCCCTCATGATCCCCCTCTCCCAGATAGCAGCACAATGAATGGCCTTAGGATGTAGTATAACATAAAAGCTGGAAGAACCTGGAGGCTGCAAGGAACATCTATCCTGAGTGCCCTGCTCCTGGAAGCTACCCTGAAGTCTGCAATATTGATCATAATTTCCTCTATTTCAGCCAAGGCTGCTCTGCTACTGAGCTGGGTTAAGTGGGTGTACTGAAAAGCGGGTCCAGCACCGCAGAACTCACATTTCCAGTCACATCAGCAGGATTACATGTTCCTATGGAGCTGAGTGAGGACAAGGTGTTCATACTCCCTGCAGAAAGAACTGACAGGTAGCCAGGTTTCATGCCTACAATCAAGATATTTGATCTACCTCTCACAGCAAAAAGCAGGAATTTAATACATCTCCTGGAGACATGAGGATATTTAATCTGTGGGACCAGGAGAAAGGTGAAGGACAGCAACATGAGACAGGTTGTAGTCAGAGCAAGGACTCTCTTCTCATGAGACTCATATCTCAGTGTAAGCAAATTGGTATTCCATCTGCTAATGGATTTAAGCAGCAGCTGCTGTATTCTTGCATACAAGAAATCATCAAAGATTTTACACTTGCATCCTTTGGGCAGAAAGACTCTTGGAGGCGAGCTTCTCCAGAGGAAGTTCCCAGCTGGAGGGGACAAAGTGCAGCAGCGATGAGGATAGGCTCCAGAGCCCCACGTGTTTTGTCCAGAATGGCTGGAAATGGGAGAATTTACATGTTCTTACATAGTGGAGTTTCACACAGAGGAAGTAAGGAGGCACATCCAAGGTGAAGTGGGATTCAACATCCTCATCAGAATAGAACACTTGAGCATCAGCTGCTTCAGGACAGTCACACAGGACTTCCCACAGTACTATTCCAGTGCCAGTGCTATTTATGCAGTGCTCCTGCTCTACCTCACCTTCCTCCCTCTGCTTCAAGTCAGCACACTCTCTGGCTATGTCTCCTCCCTTCTCACCCTGCTTTCTCCCACTTAGATCCCCTTCCACCCCTGTTCCCAAAACCATACAGCAAATGATACTGAGATCACATTGCCTGCTAGGTCCACACCCCATCCTGCCCCTCTTCTCCCCTGCCTCTGCCTGGCCTATTCACATCTGGCAGCGCTCAGCACTGCCACAGAGGAACAAGTGACTCCGCTGGGCAGGCACTGAGTGTGGACAGAACATGGGTGTGGGAATCTACAGATCCACCTCCTTTAGAGGCACCGTTTGTGCTGCCAGAAGCATCAGGCACCGGCTCTTTTGTGTTCTGTACAAACATGCAGGAAGGCAACTCTCGGCATGAAAAACTTACAGCCTAAGCAAGAACAAGGCAGAACACGCAGGGGACCTGAACAGAACAAAGTGCAGGGCCAGGGTGGAGGCACACAGTTAACAACTGAATGTTTGCTGTGTGTATTTTGCAGGCTTCAAAGCTATGGAAAAAAATAATTAATGTGAAACGAAAATAAAAGACTTTAAGCAGAACATCCCCTGCAGTATAGATTTTATACTCAGTAAGTTCAATGTGAAAGGTTTTCCCACTTGCTATATATAAGATTTCATACATGTATAAAGAATAAATATAAATTGCTTAGAAACCAGCATTTTATGCGAATCTGTTAACAAATAGTTCTGTGTGCCTATGCCTCAAACACTGTAGCTTTGGGCTGGTGCACGAGAAGCTGTAAACTAGGAATTGACTGAACATGAAAACTGGGCTGATTGCATTCACTGGCCTGGCATGAGAGGCACAAGCACATTAATTAATACATGGTAGCTCTCTTTTTACCACTTCAGAGGTTATTATTATCCAAGAAATCCCACGCCTGAAAGCAGCAGAGAGCAATTCTCCGTGTCTCCACACCTTGTCGCTCTCTCACTCCACAACACCAGCTATTTCCCAGCAAGCAGACAGCTTCAGAAAGGCCCGGGAGGCACAGCTCCGGAACAGAGCCCTGGGACCTGTGCTGGACACTACCCCAGCTAAACACCCAGAGGCGGGGAAAGGAATTAATTCTGCCGCTCAGCCCGGACCCCCGTGGTAGCTCCAGATGCCAAATGGGAGCTACTCTGTCCCAGACATGAAGTTACACCGAGTTTCTCTCCACCCTCTGAAGCTACACAAGATGCAAGCACAACCTGAGAGCAGAAGAGCAAAATTTTAAGTCACTGGTTTACTGAGTCAAAACTGTTTAAAGTTAAAGTTTATTTGTATTCTTTGTATGAATATCAATAAAAGACCTCAAATGTATCTATAACTGTACATATTACAAGAACCTTCAAAAATTATTCACAGAACAAAAATAAATCTTCTTTAGAACAAACCCAGGCAATGAAATGCAGAAATGGATCTCAGAGACCAAACAGTCCAGTGCTACTAGCATAAAAATACGGCTTGAAAAACAAGTTTATTACTTTCTAAGGTGTACTTTGTTGAAATAAAAAATAAATTATTTAGAGCTATCATTGTAAAACAGTTCTGTGCAGTAACACTCTTTTTAAGGCCCTTGAGACAGAAGATCTATTTTTACAGGTAGGATTCCTGGCAGGCATGATCTGTAATGACATGCTCACTCTCACGGGAGTTAACTTACTGTGGAGAAGGAAATACCTAAAAGCATCAGCCTGAATTTAACCCTTTTTGCTCTGTCAGGCTCAGCTGGATACCTGTGGCTGACCATGCTGATCACTGATGGAAATACATTTAACAGTTCAATCCTGACAGGAATCATTCTCAGGAACAACAGAGAACACAAACAGAATTCATATATACACGGTGACCTTAGCAGATAAGTATTGCTGAGACATTCCATGGGCACTGCTGTAAAATTGATGGACTTCAATCATTGAGTTTTCAGATGAAGTTAAAAGCTGGTGGGTTTAACCAAGCATTAAAACATGAAATTAATCTATCATGTATAAAAAAGTCTAAGCCAATCCAAAGCAATTGCAAGAACATAAAACCCATTTCTTGGACAACTTATTAGATGGATACAAGATTTATTACTGGATACACCTCATATCTTCTAACTAGAAAATACACACATCCCTTTCCACACTCCTCTGGATCCCCTGCCTGAGTTATGCCACTGGAGAGCAATGTTGCAAAATGTGTAGCTGTATGAGTCTGTGCTTTCATGCATAGCTGCCCATTTCTAATACACCAGTGAAGTAACACTTGGTAATTCCTGAACATGAAATCCGTCTACTTCCCTTAAAGAAAAAAAAAAAAAAAGCCCCAACAGGTCAAAATTCCTAGAGTTGCAAAGAACAGGCATTTACAGGATGTCATTCCCTGGCTGTGCTTCCTCCCTTTTCCATTAGTGTCTATTCCATGTCATTCTGGTCGCCTCTGTTCTTCACACACTCTGCAGACACTACACACAACACAGTCAAAGGTCACAGTGCTACAAAACACTGCTCCATTTCCCTGCCCCACTATGCTGGCTGTGAGCTTCTACTGAGAACTCTGAAACCTTGGAAGAATCATCCTAGAACAGCATTGAGTAACATGGCCAGCAAGGACTGAGATGCCAGGATGGGCGAGTTTCTTGTTTCAGTCTACATGAGTATTACTCCTACAGGCTATTAAATTTTTCCTGTACTACAGCTGTTCCCAAATGAGAGCAGCAGTTCCTTGCAACATCATTAGACACAGCCTGATGCAGTTGCTTAAAGTATGAACCAAAACCTGATGTCTATAATGCTCATCATGAGACCTCATGCTATTTACTACTTCTGCCTTTGCTGCAGAAACCCACTGGCTACTAGTCTTAAACCAAAAGTGATTGGGCCCAGTCAGGGCTCTTGCTTCAAAATAGATCGACCTTTTGGCTGCCACGTGGTTTTATCAGACTAGACAAAACAGAAGCTGGCATTTTCACATGTTATCAGCTTGAGGTGGCTTAAAATTTCTCTAGAAAGCTCCTTGGTAACAAATGAGGAGAGACAGCTGCCTGCAGAAGTCAGGAGCACAGCATTTTGTTCTGCAGCTAATCAATTTTAGTCTTGCAGTACTGTGAGTCTGCAACCTTCACCCCCTTTTGGGTCATCAGGCAACTTCTCTACAGTGGGAGTTACAGGAATACACTTTAGTGTAGAAGCTGAAAGACAAGAGAAACAACCAGCCTAGCAACGAGCTCTGAGGACAATACTCATGGGTCAGACTCTTTTAGAATAGCAACTTTTTCCTACAAGTATTCTGCAAGCTTAAGAAATACACTGGAGAAGGTTCATCACTAGAATGATACATTACTGCAGACCTCACCAAAACATATCAATCTCGGGGTAGGTGTTATTTCCCCTCTAAAAATCAGAGCTGAAATGTTGCTCCTATTGCATTTCTCTGCAGAAACCAAAGTGGACACCTCAGAGTCTTCAGCATCAAACCATGCAGCTCAGCCAGTGGTCTTTGATAGATTACCAGCAAGCCAGGGAGCTCTGGCAAAATGCACTTCCCAAATTAATGCTAGACTTACACTACCAGAATGACACATCTGCTTCTGCCTTGTTCTAGTCAATGTATTCCTATGACCACATGCTCTCCTACCTCAGCCACAGAACACCTATGCTGTTTGCACTGTGTAATAAGTGAGCAATACATGTGCCCATCTGAAAAGGCTATCTTGGGGAATAACTCTTCCACAATGCAGCTCTGTAATTACAGTATATAGCAAAGGGGAGATGAAGATCACACAAAAATGCTCAACACAAAGCTTGTTTTTAAAGGTTTCTTGTAAAAGAGAGCTACTCACAAGACAGATTAATACAAACTCAACAGACTCCCTATGGCTGTGGTGCATGAAGGACGAAAGAGAGGAGGAGGAACTGAAAGGCACAGTTTGAGGAAGAAAATATCAGAGGTCAGCAATGACCCAGAGCTGGAAGATGGTTTGGGAAGTATGGAAAAGTAACTGCTACTGAGCAAATGCAGAGCACAACCCCAGGTGCATCAGACATTGCTGACTTGGCTATGATAAACCAAGATGGGACAGGGATGCTCCTCGGCCTGTAGTACAAGTCACATTCGAACAGCCAGAGAAGCTCTGATCTGAAAGAACTAAGCATTAAATATAAATCCCAACTCGCTGCAGACAAGTGTTCTCTAAGACCTTGCTAGGAGAGACACATACATATATGTTTTTCTTATACATCCAACAACGCAGAAGATGTGGTCTCTGTATTTATGCATAGTTAGCAATGGAACATACTTGTGTGATGATGTTTAACTGACATATTGTAACACAATCACCAGGCAGAACAGTTAACATAACATACTCTGCCACAAGCTGCATTTGCCCACAGAAGTGAGATTAATTCATTTCCACAGAACAAACCTGACAACAGACACTGAATATGGGTTTCTCAGTATTGCCAATCCTTCATGTTAAAGGCAGCCTGGGCCACTTTCAGGAGGTCAAGAAATAGGCTTAGAAACTTCTATGTTTTTAATGTAGTACAATTTTAGAGATTTGGAAACTAAGGCCAGAAAGGATAATCAGATCATCAGCTCTGACCTTCTCCACATCACAAGCTATACTGTTTCAGCCAGGTACCCCCCCCAGTCACCTCATGAATTTGCTCCTAGTTGCAGCCTATGAGGTACCCTCTCAAGGTTTTCTCTTGTTTTGAAGTCAATGCTTCCAGTTTCTAATTTCATGTTTGAAAGGTCAATCATACTCGCTTAGTATATTGCTGTTGTAATTACCTTGTTTACTTTGATAGCCTGGGGGCTAGAAATGTACACCAAAGAGTGAAAGTGAAGCTTTACAGCCTATTACTTGAGTCTAGAATCTGGGGTTTAAAAAAAACCTCTCAGACTAAATATTGTAGCCTTTGATGAAATCATGAGAATTGACAATACTGTGTCATTTACTGTTCATCTTTTACAGTCTGCAAATGTCATTATTTTCCACGAGAAGGTCACTTTGTAATTACATATGCATTCACATACAGCCTGGAAGTATGTGCCTGTAAAACACAACTGAAAGCAATTGGGGATGAAAGCTTGGTCAAAACTTCTGAAGAAAAAAATGGCGTGTACGGAACTTCCCCAAACCCCCTTTGAAGTATCCAGAGAAAGGAAAAAGTCAGTGTAAATGGAAGATCTTTTAATGCAATGTGCAGAATCTTTCGCTGGAACTAGACTGGCTAAGCTTGTAGCTGAAATAGTGAAACTGAACAAGAGTTAAAACACAGAAATCCTCTAGGAAAACAGGAAATTTTGCATATGGAAGCTTACTTTGCTGGGCACGGGCACCCGTTGGTTAGCCCTTTCCTCAGAGCACTAACCTGACTGTTCCTGGTGGAGCGCAGAGACTGAATTCAGGGAGCCACTGCGTGGTGCATAAAGTGGGGACTGGATAGAAATTTAAAAAGAAGTATTTACAGGTCTATAAATTCTCAAAACGGAAAATATAAAACTGCATTAGATCTGGGGTAAAAGAAAAGAATCCTACCTTGAAAAACTGCAGATTCCCTCTGTCTGATGGGAAGCCTGACTGTGTGCAAATGCAAGAAAACAAGCTTGCTGCTCTGAGTTTTTACCTTGTTCAAGAAGACTGACAATTTTCTGCCAGAGTCCTACCAAAATTAGGTACAGGATCCAGCAAGGGCCAATTTTCTTGCTAAAATGTTTGCTATTGAGTTTGCATTCAGGTAAAGAACAGCTAGAGAAGAGGGGAATAAAACCAGCAAATGAGTTTTCTTACAGAATTCATTTCACTATTTCACTCCACGCATGTACTTGTATCAGTCAGCCTGATATATAGAGCTGCTGTCTAATGTAACCCACTGCTCATCTCTCTCTCACCCACAACACACAGGCACTCACACTCCCCTCTTCCTCCTCCAAGGACTGCAGTGCTTTCAACCAGAGAAAAATAATAATAATAAAAATAGCAATAATTAAAAAAATCTACAGTATTCACTTCCTTTTGGTATATTACATCGCATTTTCTGTACATGACCCAAGAGCTCCCTCTATTTACACAGTGATATGGAAGGACTTGCTGTCCGGAGCCCGGTTCTCCTGGCCTTGAGTGGGGAATTGAAGCCCACCTTTCAGAGTTCTTCCTCTTTTCCATTTTTTTAGCAGCATTATGTAAACCTGTAAGGGGAAGGGGGGCTACTTTGAAGGTTTCTTGAGTCTGCTCCCTCTTGCCCTTCTCCTGGGGAGATGGCTGGCAGCATCTGCCCAGTTAGCAGCTGCTGTTTTTGAATTCACCATTCTCCGTGATGGAAAGCTTGGTGGGATTGGTGGGGGAGATGCCATTGCGGACTTGCATGCTGTAGCGCTCCTTCACCTGCGTCAGGGCACTCATCAGCCGTGTGTTGGCAGAGTCCAGGGACATGATCCGCTTCTCCTGCAACAAACATCCCACAAAGTCAGAACTCCTTCACAAATGAAATTCCTTTGCCCCACAAGCCTGCTTTACGGGGAACTTCCAGGACCTGGGGCTGTGACAGCATCTTCAGATGATTTCTAGACTGAGGCAGCTTGTCTAACATTCTCTGATAAGATGGGATGTCTGCCTCTTTCTGTTTTCTTGGGTAACGTGGCTCCTCAGTGCCACAGGCCCTCCTGGCCTTTTTGCTCGATGGAAGGGGAGAGTGAGTCAGTTACATTGGTGAATTGATCCAGTCACATGGGCTTTATCCAGACAGCCTCCAACTGAGGCAGACAGAAATGCAGCATTTGGGAGCGGGGATGGAGGGTGTTGGAGTTAATAACAACAATAGCCAATTTATTATTCTTTTTTTTTTAAATGTGTTAGAAAAACAGAAACAGGCAGCAGAAAATAAAAGTGGCGGAGTTTTATCTGGCAGAGGAAAGTGCAAGTGGTATTTAACAGCCATTGTCTCTGTGTTTTGGATGGAGTGTGCTCAGAATAAACTCATGGTATGCTTGAAATAAATAAAAATAAGCAGGTAATGGCAGCCTGCAGTCACCAGCAGGAATGAGGGTGCAATAGCAACATAGAGAAAAAGCAGCCAAAAGCTAAAACTAAGGGGTTATTTGAGGTGAAGGGGAAGAGGGCAGTGTGGGTGGAGGGGGAGATGCCATCGACAGAACACAAAGAACAAACACTGAACACACTGCTCCTAGACCCATTCCAGCTCAGAGGGGCTCCCGGGCTCCGCTGAATCCAGGGTTTGCACATGCCTGTTTGATTCTTCTTGCAGAGAAAGTGCCAGCCTCCACTTTCAGCAGAAAGCTGAAGGATATGCACGAGATTGATAAAAAATAAAAGCCCCATCAACAAAACCCAGCCTACCAAGAGCTAGATTATCCGCAGTGAGATAAAGCACTGGGGGTCAAGCCAAAGAGTTGGTGGCACAATTAGAAATGACAATTTCCATCTTCCCTCAAAAAAAAACAAAACAAAAACCAACAAAAAATCCAGCCATATAAAGCAGCAACAGAGCTGGCACAAGGTAAGTGTGCTCTCACTGCTACCAGCTGAATGGCTTTTCTATTTGAGAAGGAAAATGTCTAATTTACTGGAACCAAAAAAGCTGCCTGCAGAACTCTTCCCAGTCCAGCCCATTGAAAAACAAAATGGAGGGAAAAATGATGCACAGAAGGCACAAACATTGAGGGATAATTCAGACACACTACTCAGGAGACCCAAGTGCTACAACAGCCCCTTGAGATCTTGAATCCAGCACATCAGCTGTGTGGTAATGTTTGCTTTTCTCAGCGGGTTTCCCCACAGGGTTAAGTGTTAGGGTGCAAAAACAAAGCAGAATTTAAGTACTGCTTGTTTTGCAGCCCTGAAAAAGGCCAAACTCTGTATAGCAGAGCAAATGGGGGAGGAGGCATGAGAAATCAACAAACAGCAAGGCAGGCTGTAGCCTGCCCTAGCACTTCCCTGATGCAATTAATATAAGCAAGGAGAACAGACAATGGAGGAGTTAAAGGCATTAGTCTTTCCTCCCGTGCTGAAATAAATCCTGCTTTAGCAGAAATGTGTTCTTCAGCAAGTTAAAGCTCCTCCTCCTTAGACTACATTTCACCTGGAATATATAATTTAAAATTAAAATTTCTTTCCAAAGAATATAGCTTTTCAAAGAGTTAAAAATGAAAGGCTGGTTATTTTCTGGCACTGATGAGCGCTCACTATGCCAGTTTGCAAAACAGCTGGAAATCTACACTTGGAAAATCAGTGTTAGAAGTGTGAGCTTCTCACTCAAAACGAAAAAAAACATTTAACATGTCTCTAACACACATGAATTGGGCACAGGGAGTGGGAGGAGCTGGAATGGGTAGGAGGTCAGTGCACTGGGCCAGGACTGGGTACTGCTCAGCTAGAGAACTGATTGGGTTTACTTGCCTGTTTGAATTATCTCATCCCCATTTATGACCTGTAATTTAACACAGCGGAGATGTCACTTGCAATAGCAACTGGGCTAGTACTCTTTGCAGCTCCGCTGCTCCAAGGAGAGAGTCAAGACAGACTTAGCCCCTACCCAGTCAGGGAGGCCCAGAGCCAACCTCTGGAACGAACCACAGTGCACACAAGGCGCTGCCCAGAGCCAGTGTGAACAGCACTGATACTGAGAACAAGGCTGTCCTTGTGCATCTGTGCAGTATTGGGTGCTGCACCTGACCATAAGACAAAAGAGCAGATCCTGAAAAGCATCTTGGGTCGATGTAACTAAGCACAAGAAGCCTGGGTTACTGCTGTTTCCTAGCAGCCATTTAACTCTTCAAAGCAGGTGTCATAACCTGGGTTCCTGCTCCACTCCATAAAGCTCACATGAAAAAGACCTTTCATTTTCTAGCTGCTGCTCTATCCTTTTGCCAAATGAGTCACAGGCTAAGAAAAATCTTCCAAATGCGACTTAGAGGGATTGCTACAGAATCCAGCAAACGGCTGGGCTCCTCTGGTATGTCTGGTTTGACTTTCACCAGTTTCCTCTTCTGCACAGGAACCCATGACAGGGCAATGACAACTAAGCTTTCCCCCATGTACTGACTGACACTGAAGCAGTTAAGGTTTGCTGACGACCTTGCTTGCCCAAGTAGGCAACAGCTACTTCAGAAGAAAAAAGTGCCAGATTAAAATAGGAATCATTAATTCTACTGTTTTGATACTGTTTTTTCCCCAACAATTTCCAGTGCAGGTGATAAATGCTGCATCATTTGATCAAGTGTGATCAAGGACCACACCTTTCCAGCCCTGAGGGTCTGAAGCTTTCACAAGTCAGCAGCAGCCCCATCTGCCAGCTGGTGACAGAAAGCGACCAGCCTGGTCCACTAGTCCGTAACTTCACACTGATGCTGAGAGCCTACTAGCATAGACGGCTAACAAAGGCAAAGGCAAGTTTCTTATTCAGCCACAGTCTTGCAAATCCTTCCCTCCAAAAATCACTTTTTGAGTTTGCTCAGTGCCCCTTTCACCTTCTTGGGACAGATGAGAAAGGCATCACCTCCTTCAGAAAACAGGCTGCTCTTTGGATGAGCTGCCATTCCATCAGTGTAACAGCAAGATGCCCTGACTGTGCCTATCTCCAAAAAAATGGCCCTCTCTGATCAGACTGGAGGCTGCTGTACTGTTCCCCCACCACTAATAAAAAAATACAGTGCCTGACTGCATTCCTGTTCATTCTCCAGCATTGCACTCTCCCACTTCGCATTTTGAGTGCAAGTCTTCACAAAAAGGATTTAATCTTGAGCTGCATCTTGCAAGGGTAACTACACCAGTGTCTCCAGGTAGAGTATCTTTCACAATAACTAGGAACTCTACATGGTACAATTCCAGTAGGACTTTCTTCTTATTCCGCAAGGCTAGGTAGCAGAAGTGCCATGTCTCTGTACACAAGTGATTTATTCAGATTAGATGGCATGGACCCAAAACCACAGCTTTCATGAACAGTCCTTCTGAAGAACTGTGGGAATATGGGCAGAGGTATCAGGAAAACCAGAACTTTTCAAATTATCAAAAAGAAATCTGCTATAAGCGTGCTCCCAGTGTTAGGAGACTTTGACAAACTTTTTCTTTCTTTTACTTCATATATTCCTTAAAGTTCCAGGACAGCTCAAACATTTATATTATTGTTGGCCATTCAACAGGAAAAAACCGCAGCCAGGTATGCCTTTTTGTGCTCCCAATGCCTACACTCTAATATGGCAGTACCATCTTTAACAATGTTCAACTGAGGCTCCCTCTTCCCACTCCTCTCTATGTACAGAAACAACCTCCTGAAATAGCTTGGGTTATTCATGAAACAGGTCATCTTCTTAAGATCATGTGTTAAGGAAAGTTTACAGCTGGAACTACTGAAAAGCCGAGAAGCAGGAAAGATGTCCTCCAAATGCAATTATCACAAACATAACATGGCAGGCAGATAACAAACCAGTCTCAGGTTCTGTTGTACAAGCTTTGCTTTCTGGGATCAGCACAGACACAGAAGAAAAGCTGAAATGATCCCACACAATACACCCAACATGCATTGCCCCCTGGGCCCCACTTTCCACGTCTAACTTGTGTTGCCTGGGGCAAGCAACTGCAGGTTTGTGGCAAAGTGGGCGTTTCTCCAGGACTGAAGGGGACAGTCAGATGGGGTGAAATGCCACATGACATTATACAGGGCAATGCTCCATTGCAAGCATTCTCTTTTCTTGACTTGAACGTTCAAAGCCATGCTTTTAGCTTGCATAGCTGAGATGCATGCACATGGCAATTAAACTATGCTGGTATGAGGCGCAGCTTTTCCAGAGTTCCCAGGCCCACACTTGGAACGATGTCCACACAATGCACGATTATTCCTTTACCCAGTTGGGATCTCACAAAGTCGAAAATGTTCTGGAGAAGTGATCGCTCCTGTGATTTGTTGCCAGGCTGTCTCAAAGCCTCATGTCACGCAGTGAAGTTTTCACTAATTAAAAAACCCAATTCTCTCCTAGAAGGTGGCAAGTCCCATGTGCAACACCATGGGCCAATAGCGGCTTCGGAGCTAGATAACAATGCTGAGGCAGGAGGATAGGGGAGAACAATGGGTTCTATGAACAGAACACTTGGTTCTTTGAGATCCTGAGCTCCTTACCTGTGCATCAATAATTTTCTGCTTTGCATCAATGACAGCTTGCATCTCTGCATGATCCTTCTTCAGCTCCTCTTCAACTGCCATGAGTCTGATGAGCAAAAAGAGGTACACATTAGGATGGTTTAATACTATTCCAGAGTGTTTCAGGTGCTCTGGCATATTGGTCTGACTTCTCTGAATGTCCTGGCTCTGCAAGAGAAGAATTCTGCTGCACATGGAAAAGTTTATCTATCCATCTGATATTCCCAATCACCTAACCTTGTTGTTCTCAAAATGGACAGTGCCAAAAATGCAACTCTCAAGAAACTGTTGTCTGCCTTGAGTACATATTCCAAACAAAGCAAAAAGACCTGGTTTAAGTACAACAGAGACCAGGGTTAAAAATTCCTAAATATTTTCCTTCATTCTCCTGGCAATGTGAGGCACGTTTCCACACATGCATCCCTGTTTCCTCGTCTGTAAGACAGGATGGTATCAGTCCAGAAATGTTAAGAAGCCCATGCCACTACCTTCTTTAGTCTTAATGAGAACACATGACACAGGGGAGCTGCTTGACCCACACAGTCCCAAACTTCCCAAAGCCTCACCTGCTGATGATACTTTTCATCTGGCTGTCCTTCTCCTCCTGTTGCCTGCGCAGTCTCTCCTCACTGTCTTCCAGCCTAGACTTGTACTCCATCAGTAGCTTCTGCATTTGCTGCTCTTGCACCAGGAGGCGCCGCTCATACTCCTCCAGCCGTCGACTTGACACCTTCAGGCGCTCCTTCAGCTTTGCTATCTCTTGTTCATACTGCAGATGGAAAGAAGGAAAGAATCAGATGCAGAGGAAAAAAGGAAAAGATCAGATCATTATAATCTGCTGCTGCTGTTCAGAGGACGTGTTTTTTCCATGAAAAATAAATTGATAGAAGTAAAGGGAATGATAAGCAAGCAACTGTGGGTAACCACAGGCAAGGAGCATGCAGGCTCCCGCTGAAGGCATTAAGCTGTTCACACACTATAGGATGTCATTCTGTAGCACAATTTAAGCGGTCAAAGGGCTCTGAAATGGCTCCACAGCCCTGACCGCTAACATACCCAGTTACTCCAGACTCATGCAGTTCCCAGACAGAAGCTAACAGTGCTCAACTGGGGTGACCCAATTTACAAAACAAGCTGGTATAGGACCCAAATAACTCATTCTTCAGTTCCTAATCAAGGCATGAAACCATGTGTGAAGAGAGAGCAAATCATTCACTACAGAATAGAGCCTGTGAGTTTACCTGGCTGAGGTTTTGTTGCTCTACTTACTGCCTGTATGGACAATCACTTCTGCAATAGTTCAATGGATCTCAACATATTCCACTTTTTTTTGGGTTCATTTACCTTTCGTAACAATCATGTGTTCCTATTTCTTGTCCACCAAATGTCCTCCTCCTCACTTCCTGCCTTCTCAAAATACCAAACCTCTTATGAAACTTCATCACCATAGCAGCGTATAGATGTAACTGTATTTGGAAAAATAGTATCTACTCCTGGATATAAATATGCTTAAAAAAGAAAAGATCATGGATGTTTCTGTGTAGCCCAGAAACACTGTACTACCTAGATGACAGGCATTTGGCTCAGGCAAAGCCCAACGTAAAATTTTAATGCAACTACTGATGATGACTGAATTGCATTTTACATAGCTTTGTACAATCACTTAGCATATCCTCAGCTATACTCAGTTGCGTTAACAATCATTATTTTTTTTTAAATGGAGTTTAAAGATCACTAAAGTGCTTTGCAAGCATAGCAAAATGGCAGTATGCTGTAGCTATAGTGTTGTCATAAAAAGTAATGACTTGAACAGGATCTAATATACTTAGGCGGTGTGACTCACAATGCACTTAAGTGCCAAATGCCAGCCTGTAGCATACAAACTCTCAGCTGTGTCAGTTTGCACCCATTTGACATGCTACAGCCTGTATGTGGGCTAATCTACTATATGGAATACTGTATTACAGTTAAGTGTGACAGCAAGTACAGCAGGAAGTTATGACAATACAACCTGTGTTTGAAAGCATGACTGTCACAGCAGCTCCTGAAAGCCATTCTGAACTTAGCTGTAAGGTGCACAGGACTCAGTGGCAGCCCTTGAGCTGGCTGCATACAGAATAAAATCTACCTTCTCAGCATGCTTGACTTCATCTGGATTCTGCTCTGTGTCTTCCTCTACTTCTTCATACTGCCCATTATTGAGAACCCACGCAGCTGTCCTTTCCACTGGTGACATTGTGGCAGAGTCCACAGGTGACTGAACCTGTAGCAGAGATACCTGTAAGCATTTTTCAGGGAAATCACATTCAAATCAGCTCTAAAATACAGTTTATTTGGAGGAGAAAAATTACCACGAACCTGTCAGTCTCAAAGAATCCCCCAGATCTCTCCTGCAGAGATACTGCATCCTCCCTTGACTTTGGGAGTACTTACTTGAGCCTCTCTAAAACCAATGAACTTTAGAAATTTTTCTGCCTAAGTTAGTTTCTCCCTGGAAAAGTTCTTGTTTCCAAATCCTGTTCACACCCACCCTCTACCAGATTTTCAGTAGAGCTTTCTCAACCTGTGATTTCTCTCACAAAGAAAACAGAGTGACAAAGCTTCACTTGCAGCCTGTTCAGGTAAGCCAGATTGGTTTCTTCGGAGTACAGAGGAGCTTGACTTGGGAGCAGCTTTCTCAGCCAGGCTTGGCAATAGAGCATGACTTGGATATGAGACAGCACAGCAGTACTTAAAGTGGCAAAGAGGTGTAACATTATCACTGTAGTGCCTATCAGATTTAGATGGTCTGTTGCAGCATATACACCCCGACAAGGCTGGGAAAGGAAGTCAGGGCCAGTAGTGCTTACTAGAACTGTAAAACATCATCAGAGGCTACCCTTTTTAAGGGAATGTGAAAAAGCAAGCCAAGAAAAGAAAAAAGGCACTCTGCCTGGCTGGGGAAAATATGGCTTGCTATAAATTCCAAGCAATTTTCATGGACAAAGACAAGTTTATAAGCACAGGAATTAGCATAATTATCCCTGAAAGAACAACACTGTCTTAACTTTTGAGAAATGTGAAAGATCAACTTCCCTCGCCCCAACTATAGCTTCTTTTTGTGCTCAAGCAGCTCTTCAGCTCACTGCTTCATTTCAGTATTATACCAAAGTGAAACATATTCCCTGGCAGAGGGATTTGAAGTCTCAGGAGCTCTGTACGGGAGTAACAGCTTCTTTACATGACTAGGCAAGGGATCATGTCAACCTCAATTTTTGTTTCTCGTGTTCATGAGGACAGGGCTGGTGCATGCTGTGTATACTCTATGCCAGCTCTGGCCAGAGACTCTGCTTGCAATGGCTCAGCTATCCTGAGCAGTGATGAAGACTCCAGCACTGGAAGAATCCTCAGGAAGAATGGGTATAAAGGCAACGGAAAGGAGTAGAAATTAGGCAAAAATCCCTAGATTTGGCAGAGACCTTTTCTGTAGGAGGAAGCCTTCGGTGCAGAAAGGCTAATAGCCACTTCCAAGTGCAGTGTGACAGCCTGGCAAAGTTCCTTAGATTTTTTTTACGGTATTTGCTGTCAGGCAGGCATAGCAAGGGAGACTGTGAAGTGTGTGTGGCCCTGCCACGGGCCATTCTTGAAGGTAAATACTTTGGCTCCGGGAATTTGCTGGAGGAATTAGGAACAGCTATGGATGAACAGTGTCATTGTTCACTGGAGTTACAGAGGACTAAGATAGCAGAAGGGTGACTATAACCTTCATCACCAGCCTTCTAACGGACTGATCAGTAGCAAACCTTGCCAAACTACATTGCAAGCTGTAGGACAGAATATTTTCAGCAGCCAAATTCTGAAAGCCTACGAAGACCAAGTGGATTGCAAGCACTTCACATGCTAATGGGTTATGAGTTATACTCTAATAAAGGGCAAAAAAAAGAAGAGCCGGCTAGGAAAATGTATTAATTCCCCTCTATGCCGCTCTTCCAGAGGAACACACTGGCATTTCTATTCCCACCTACCTACTAAATGGAAATGGAAGGCAAAAAGTGACCTCTCCCAGCAAACAAAGGGCCTAGCTCTATATTCAGAAACAAATGGGACTTGTAGAGAACAGAGTCTAATAATTATAACGCCCACAAAGCATGCCTAGAAAGAACATGCCCAACTTCACTTTTTTCTTTTTCTTTTAAAAATAAGAACAAAATTCCACAACACAATTTGCAATTAAAAGGATGCAATAGAATTCGCCTCAAAAAAATTTTGGCCACTCCATTTGGTATACTTCAAGACATTTCTCAAGGGTGTGGGGAAGTAAAGAACAAATTGATTCATCTGAATAAAGTAGGAGCAAGTACTCTAATGAATCCAGTGGAAATAATTAGTATGGAAAGTAGAGTGGAAAAATAAGTGAAAGCACATTGCCTGTAAGAGAGAGGAAGAAGACTGCCCTAAAGCCAGTCATAGTCAGAGGCATCTATAAAGCCGAATGTAGAAAGTAGCTAGAGGACAGTCACTGTGTTGCTAAGCAAGCAAAGGTAACTGATTTACTGGGAGGCAGTTGGGTAAGCAGCAATCTAAGATGAGCAGAGCCAGAGGTCTGCAAACAGCTGAGTGCTTCTTGTTCATACACACAGTGCAGGAGCCAACCAAGTAAGGTGTATGCACAAAGACTGGAGACATGCCACCTGTACTTTCCCCTCTTTATCCTAACACCTTCGATGTAAAGCCTTCTTTGTGAATTTGTGTAGACACTTCCCACAAGAAGCCCTGAGGAATGACACCAGCTCCCTGAGGATTTTGGCTAGGACACTGCACAGAACCATACAATCAGACTCATCAGATCATTTAATACAGGTTTACACTGGATGCCTGAGAAATGCAAAGGAGTTTATCCTTCAAATTTATCCTTGTTACTCGCCTAAAAAACTCCTACCACCTCCACACTAGGCTTAGTTGTATTCAAAATACTTTACTTATCAACCCCTCTATACTCAAAAACACAGGCTCCAAAGGACACAAACATATGCACTTCAAATAATGTGCAATTACTTTTTTCAGTATTACTAACTTGGCATAATAAGCTTTGCTTTGTGATTCAGTGTTATCTGTTCTCCTTGTACTTTAATGAACTTGAGGTATCAAAGTAATTTTGAAGCCCTGGGTTCCCAGGCATCATCATCCAGATTCTCCTCCTTACATCTGTAACATTCTGGACTTCGCCAGGAAAGCTACACCAACAGTGATACCAGTAAAATCTTTGGCAGATGAGGAGCTCAGGCTGGCAACTAAGTTCTTCTGCCAGCTTTAGGTTACAAGTGTTTCCCCTGCATAATCATGTCTTCACCAGAGGTTTTGCCATCAGGGCTACATCAGCAAGGAGGATCATAACCTCCTACTGCTTGCGGATATACCTTCTCCAACAGCATGGTGCCGTCCCAACCACAGGGGCTGCAATTTTCTGGAGTGGAAGTCCTCGCTCATGCCTGTCTGCAGATTAGCGTCCTTCATAGAAGGTCTTGTGGAAAGCAGGAGCTTAAAAAACTTCCTTCTGTACTTAGGTTAATCAAACATGACCATGCTTACCCTCACAGTGACCAGGAAGAAAACACTTAACCCCGAGGAACAGCATGGGTGGCGTCTTCAAGAGCCTCACTTTGCCCAGCTGATAAGTCTGAATGCACTTACATGACATTCCTAAAAACAACCACCTTCCCTTAGACCTACAGACCGAGACATTTTCTACCTTTGCTGTAATACCAAGCATTTAAACATGCACTTTCTATTTAACAGTAAACTAATTCAGGAAAAGATTTTCATACACTCACAACAGGAATTTTTTTTTTAAAGGTAAAGGAATGTTGGCTTTTTGACAGGAAAATCTTGATTTACAATTGCCCATGAAGAACTGATAAAGTGCTTCAGGAGTCGGTACATATAAGCACTGCTTTCCAGCAAGTGTTTGCGTTATTCATAGTTTGGGGTGATTAATGCAAAAGAAGTACTTATTTGGGAACCAGCAATAGATTGTTGCATTATGGAGAAACACAGATTTCTCCACACTTAAGATAACTGTACTTACTTATTATTTTGGCAGCAGCTTATGATATTTTCTCTTTGTTTATTTCTCTGGTTTTACGTAACTATCTTTTAAATTAGCACCACAGGGCAAATGCAGTCTCACGTGGCAACTTTAGCTACAATTTAGAACAAAGCTTCTTCTATTTGTTTTATTCAGGGAAATTTCCAAGTTTTGTTTCTTTCAGCAGGCAATGGAAAACTTTATTTTTTCTTTTTAATATTTAGTACAAAAGCATCCAAAAATAACAGGTAGGCTAGGCTTGCCAAGCTTGTAAGAGTAACAAAGCATGACTATTCCATACACTTGCTACTGGCCACTGACTTAAAAGTGCCAGTACTCTTGATTCAACTCAATTCAACTCAAAGGTCAAAAGCTTCAAAGCTTGATGCACCAATCGGCTAAACATCAAAGCAGAAAGAACATGGAAAAAGGCTTTCCTTACCTGCTGTGTTTGTTGCCTCTGAATTGCCCTCACCTTTGGGACAGGGCTCTCTCTAGAGGATGAGGACTGCTGCCGGGACCGGCTCCCATTCTGAATGGGTTCAGTCACCATGGCCCCGGACACTGCTGACATGCTGCCCGTGCTCCGCAGGGAAGCACTGTGCGGCAAGGACTGCGGTGCTTTGGCCCTGGCACCCAGTCCGGCTTGGTCCATTTTGCGGATCTGTGCTTGGCTGCTGCTGTTCTGGCGGGGCAGTGCGATGGGGACGTGTTTGTCTGGGACCGTGTGGCGCCGAGAGAAGTCCTCGCTCTGCGTGCTGCGCCTGGTGAAGTCCTCCATGCTGCTGTTGCTGGGTCCGCTAAGTTTGAAGTCTTCACTGTTGCTTCGGCTCTGGGAGCTGGCAGTGCTCAGGTTCTCCAAGCTGGAGTCCACAGAGGCCTTCGGCATTGGTGGGGTTGGGTTGTTGAGATGGTAAACTGGGTTCTGGAACGACAGAGGCTGGAGGCTGCCCTGTTGGTTCAAAGCCGGGTGCAGAGGCCTTCTCACCTGGGGAGCACTCTGGGGTGTGCTCTGAGTTTCCCACAGCTGTTTGATGTTTGCCACCTGTGTGACAGAGAGCTGGCTGCCAGCTAAGCGCAAAGGCACATCGTGCATAACAGAAGCATGGTCAGTGTGAGCCGTGTGAGGGTCTTGGAGGTCCATGAGAGAGATGCTACGTCCATTGGGCAAGATGCTTTCCCTTTCATCCTTATCTGAGTAAGTCATGCTCTGGGTGGATGCCTGCTGAACCAACAGTAAGGTCTTGCCCCTAAAATATCCATCGACATTTTCCTGGGTTGGAGACTTCAGCTTATGCAAGTCACTGTGAAGCAGAATGGAATTTGGTTAATTTTTAAGCAGACAAGACCCTTAAAGATCTGTCCCAGAGAAGTCTTTCCACCTCATTTAACCTCCCCCCCATCTGAAAGCTTCAAGGAACCAGATTTCCTTTTATGAGCTCTTTGTGTTCAAGTCAGAACACACTCTTCCTTAATTACCACTTATCTTTGAAAATTACATTTGATTCAAGAAGTGCTTCATCTTCATTTTTTTACAGGTGAAATGCAAACCATTCCCATCAAATCCTCCCCCCTTAGACACTTCTGTCTTCAGCAAGACTTCAGAGCAGTTCAGATCGCATTTAACCCTTTACCAGCATTATGTATTGCTGGGGTCTGAAAATTCAACAGGAGTTGCGTGCAGGTACCTGCAGACCTAGATGTAAGCTCAGAAGGCAGACATTTCCATGTAACAAAACTGGCTCTTATACCTGACAAAACTAGCCCTCATATCTCAGACAGAAACTACTCTAAGACCACAGTATCAAAGCTCTTTAGTAGTTCTGTCATGTCACAGCTTTTTGCTTCGGATGAACAGCTATTACAGTATGTAGAATACGGCACTGAACAGAGGAGGGACTACTTTTGCTGTTCGCCTCATAACAAGTTCCACCTACAGCCCATGTTTTTTATTAGCAGTAAATAAGTGGTCTGATCACCAGAAGGAAAGACTGTGGCTGACTATGCATCCGGACACTAAGACTAGCAGTAAATTGCAAAACTGTGTTTTAGCAGCTGAAGTCATTGACACCCGCAGACATGTTTGAGTCCTGAGTAAGCGAAAAGCCTCAGGTCTCTAGTGCCACCTTTTGTTACTCTTATTGGGACTGTGTATTCCCTGTGACAGAGGCCCAAGCTCCCCTTTCCCACAGCTGGCCTGGGCAGACAGCTCAGCTGATGAAGCACTCAACCCTTAACAGGCTTAATAACCCCCTTATCCCACATCTTCCCTTGAGCTCTGGATGTTACATACCCATCAGTGGGGTCCTCAAATATCTTCTGAAGCCCTGAGGAGAGACTGCCACTGACATTTGGACTAGAGCTGTGCTCAGTGAAACGCCTCAGCTGCTGCTGTATTGGCGTAGGGTTGGTCATTGATTTGGTGATATCAGCAAGAATACGAGGAAGAGGTCCCAGTTTTGCCACGGTCGCCTGTAGGAAGGAATTTTCACCCTAATTGGACAACAAGCACCGCGACATCCGCCAGTTTTTGATAACGATGCACAGAGGCGGAGGGGTGGAGGTGGAAGGAAGGAGGGTGGGTGGTTGTGTGCGGGTGTGGCAGGACCGTAATGCAGTGTTACGGAGCAGCGTAACCACGGCGACGAGATGGATGGAGGAGACGAAACGGGGTGCAGCAGACATTGAGGAAAGAAAAGGAAATAGAAAAGAAATTAGGATTGACCCCCAAAAATAAAAATCATGCTCAATAAAACAAAACTATTGCCATTCCAATGCAAAACTATCATGCAAAGCAAATTAAGTCCAGGATGGGTGAGGTCAAAGTGAAAACTATGGTATCTATTCATTAAAGTGCATTCAAAGACTACACATTGAGCTAGTTGGGGGGCTTTCCAGGCAAAGGATGTCATGTGGTAAAGGAAATGCATGCCAACAGACAAAGGGATGCGGCATTCAGGTGGATCATGAGAGAATTGCGAGGGTTGAGGGAGATGGAGAGAAAGGAAAAGTTTTCATTTTGTAAGCTTTTTGCTTTTGGCATCCTACACTGATGCCACCTTCAGTAGCACCCTGTTATCAACAATTAAGGCATTCTTCCTACCTAAAAGTGAAAAATAACTGCATGAAAACATCAATGTTCCTCATCCCAACATTATCATATCAGCCTGGAATTATATGTGTAGCTTCTGGTTCGATTACATGTTAGCTCATTGTTGGCCAGGCCTAGGATAGGAGCAGCTGACCTTCCAGCAAGGAAGTCTGCTCATTCAGGCTCTGTATCTTTCTCCCCTCTTTGGGTCACTGCTGGTTATTTCATCTACAGGGCATCTTCAGGCTCTTGGGACTGCAGGAACAAGGGAAAAGTGCTGGAGATTTAGAAAAAAGCAAAGCTCTGCTACAAAGACAATATTCTTTTCAAAGATATCCTTATTTTTCCTGTAAGCTGGTATTCAGATAGTTTGGCTCCAAAGAAAGGTCTCTTTGCGACACTTTCACATAGCACTTCTTCTGTGTCTATTAAAATCTCTGAGGTGACTTCTCTCATCATTTCCCAGTCATTACCTACAGTAAAGCAGTATTGCATGTAACTTTACCCCTCAATTCTCTTTTTAGCAAACCACTATACCAGCTCCCAAAGGACTGTTAGGATAGATCCATGCATCTAATCTACAAGAAAGGGCAAAGCAGATCTGCTTTGACAGTTTATCCAGGCCTGGCTCCTCCATCTTTTTGCAGCCCAAGACATTTAGGACTGTTGCATTCAGAGAGCAGCTCACAGTAAGTAACACCAAGTCTGAAGATCCATTTGCAGTTCTAAAGACTGGAGCTGGGTTTGTCTTCACCTGATGCCTGAGCAGCTTAGAGGGAGATGGCAGTATGCCCTGCACTGTGGGTTTACCCCACTTTGTAGAAAACGGGGGATGATCTGGTCTTTTGAGTGCTCACTTTGCTTGTTTTCCTAAGGCTGCTGAACTGTCTTTACAGCTGACTTTGCTGCCTACGACGTTATGAATATACACTGTGTGTATGTAGGAGGGAAATGGAAAAACAAGAACATAAATTGTTATCAAACTAAGATTAACTAAGGTTAATATATATTGCCTTTTTGAGTCAAGGACATTTCAATTTACTCTGATGCAAAAAACTCACTTTTTTTTTGTTTTCTGTCTTAAATGATGTACTGTGAGAAAATAGATACCCAACAAATAACTGCTGGCAAACCTCAATGCAATAAAAATATTAAGAGTACATTGCCATTCACCTCACCTCTCCAGTTTCAAAAGAAAGAATAACATAAATGGAATATGGACAAAATAATGCAACCTCTAAAAGGTGAAAATGGAACAGTTCCAAGCACTTGTAAAAAATAATGACTCACAGCTCAGATTTTCTGGGTCTTATCAACTACCTTTGCTATCTAAGGTTTTAATGGTTTTGAATCCTGCAAAGTTAAGGAAGAACAAACGACTGCCATTTCTCCTTCTATAGCTAAATGGAAGCAATGTTTATTGTTGGTGGTATCTACTGCAATCAGCAGAACAGAATCTGGACAATGTATATGACCCCAGCACAATGGCAGAAAGCATCTTGCTTTTGTTACAGGATGAAACTGAGAGTAGATCCAGGTTTTTACATGACATCCTCTTGTATAATAAAAGCTAATCTGAAGACTACAGAAATGAGAACATCACAGTAGACTTTGAATCAGGTCTTTCATGAAAACAGTCTGCCTGGCCAACACATTACTCCATCAGAGCTGGGCAAAGTAGTGTCTAGTGTGCAGCAAAGCACCTCCATTAGCATCAAAAAGGGCACTGCAATATTTTCATTTTCTGTCCAAACACCCTCCCTTTTTTTCCAGCTCACTTATGAGAAAGGACTGGCTGCTTAGTGAATTCCAGGTCTACTTTTAAGTGCTGCCCTCTCCACACTGAACACCCAACCTTCCTTAAGGTGCTGCAAACTGCACTTACTGCTGAAGCCCAACCACTTCACATGCCCAGATCTGAAATCATGGAAAGAACAATTGTGAAATACCACTGTCAAACATTCCTCTCAAAAGCAATTCTCCCAAAAGCAGGTTTCAGCTGCTCCCTTGATGTTTCCTAGTGTTTACTGTTGCTACGATACAATTGCCAGATTCACCCTCCTGGGCCTCCAGCCTGCTTTACCTTATCAAGCTGGGACACAACTTCCCATAGGAGGGAATGCAAAACTGAGAGCTCTCTGCCCAGGTCGATGTAGCCCTCAAATCCAGGCATGTTTGAGATGGTATCTGGATTAGAGATCTCCAGGAGAAAACGCTTCATTCCTCCCCACTCATGTTCCAAAAAGTCATTCATAAAGGCCATATATTCTTCCTTATTACCAAACCTGCAAGAAAACAGGGGATGGGGGCAAACCCCAGTCAATAATCTCAACACCAAATACAGAGTAGAAGTTCTTACAGTCAATTACTTTAATGCTTAACTTTAAACCTGCATTTCCAAAGATTTGTGCTGGGAGACAAAAACAATAACAACAAAAAAAAACCCAAACAGGACAATTTAAGAGTTTCACTGCTTTCTTTGACTTACTTAAATACTAATAATTCAGTGTTCATACTATGATCAAGGACTCAACAAATCCCTCCCCCCCTCCCTCTCACCCTCTCTCTTCTCCCTTTTCTGCATCTCTTCCCCTTTAAGAGAAATGCCATCCCCTTTGTATCATTCAGATAGGAATTTTAGAGGAAGAAAGGAGGAAAACCGTGATCCTTGGTGGGAACAGGCTTTTTTTTCTTTTGAAATAGCATACACACTGACATGCTAATGCATGACTCTTCCTGGTCTTATACTGTGTCCCCTTTACTGAATTCAACACAGCTCAAATCTGCATGTGAAAAGGAGAATTTATCTAGCTCAACACTGAGGTGTCTCAAGGGGAACAGTGATCATATATAAGTGAGAAGTTTCCTCCTTCTCTAAAGCTGACTTCAGTTTGCCAGAGAATCAGCTGCCTGCAAACATGACTACCAAGCAGGGCTCTTCTTGCTCCATAGTAACCTGCAGGGACTTGCACCCCTAGAGGCACAGATTTCAGTTTTACTGCCACCACTTACTTAGCAAAGTTGGCAAGATTCTGAATGACTTTAGCAATAAGTGTGAGTGTGCGAGATGTCCGGTCATCAGGATACTCCTGCATGAGGCTGAAAAGGCTGGGGGACATGATAGCGGGGCACAGGAAGCGAAGGAAGAGAGAGGCACTGATCAGGCGTTCACTGATGTCCTGCTTGCCCCTGCTCAGGCACTGCTGCTTCCAAGATGCAAATACCTCCTTCAGCTCACGAGGAAACACGCTAGAAAACAATAAACCAGGAAATAAAATTGCATGGGCAGTGAGATGCAAAAATTTGAACTGCTGACCAATCACCTGCAATAATTATCTGTGAACTCTTCCCTCTCTTCCCCCCCCCCCCCCCCCCAGGGTAGGAAATGTCATTAGGCATCTATTCTTAGATTCCCATTTAATCCGATAGTACTTAAGTACTCTTTAAAGCATGCCTTGCTCATACATGTTAAGTGAAGCCATTTTCAGACACACTGGTTTGCGAGTTAAGAACTTATCCATTGCTACCATGGAACAAACAGGGTGTGAGAACATTAAAAACACACTGAACTGAAGTCGTCTCTCTAACTGAATTTCTTGTTTTGCTTGTCAAAATCTCTCCCAATATTTCACATGTGCTTCATTCTGAAGCAGAAAGGCCCTTCTTTCACTGCTACTCAGAAACACAGATTAATAGAAATCTCTCTGCCAACATTTCCTCCCTGTGATTTCCTGTTCAATTCTACAGATTTAAATGGTCTAAAAGGTTTTTATACACATCAAAACTTTCAACTTTTTATTCCAAGTTCAAGCTAAGCTGTTATCTTCTCACTTTATTCCCTTCATATTGAGTCACAGCTCAGTATGTGTTCCCTTGGCAGAGTATTTCAGCAGATGCTCCTGACAGGTACGGTGTGTTGGACTGGAATACCTCAGTTTGGGCAAAAGATCCACCTGCAACATGGTGTCACACATAGTAAGGCAGTCAGGAAAGGAAACTAAGTCAGTCTCAGAAGATAGATGGGTGTATGCTATTTTCCGTACTGCTGTTTTCTTGTCTTCAGAGGAGGAACAGGCACTCTCTAAGCAAATGACCTAATGGGGGAAAAGGGGAGGGAAGATGCCTCACCAGTAAGAATTGATAATCTTGCAGAAAGCCAGCTCACAACACATTTTCAGGTTGCTCTGATGATCTGTTAATTCACTGGATGAACATTTGCTGGGATCCACTTCACAGTTTTCATCTGACTCATACAAAGCCTTGATAAATTCCCCTGGACAAAGGGAAGAGGATGACAAACCAGGGTAGTTACATGAAAAGCCTTCTTGACACACCTTACTTATGTCTTTCCTTGGCAACTGCCTCTTCTGTTCCCTATGTCTGCAATACAGCCTCCAGACACCAGATGTTGGGGATACAACTCCTTCCAGGTCTTTTAGAACAGAGCACTTGATGTGCCAGTTTAGATGGCTGGTGCCCATGGGAGTTTGGACTCCCGTGCCCTCGCTGGCCTCAAATATAGGTACAGTATCAGGACGGCTTTGCTTACAAACCCTGCAGACACTTCACTTGTAGCCTAAAGAACAGGATTTGACTTTGTATTCAAATTGTATTACCAACTATAAAATTATCCACAGTCTTAGAAACAACGCTGTGCTATTCATCTTCATAATTTCCACAGGAAATGCACTTGACAATGATATTTATTTTTATTATTTCTAAATTTACATTTTCTTTAATTTTTTAAAAATGTCACATTGCTGTTGAATAAGAGTAATACTCAAGTGCTAGGTAGATACATCTAATTTTCTCAACCTCTTATTAACACCTTACAACATTTTTATAGCCTGCATCTTTCAAAATCCTTTGAATTTCTGTTATCCTTTTCTTACAGCATCAGAACAGAAACTGGACATACATAAAAACAGATGAAGTTTCCTTTGACATACTGGTTTTTCTCTTACATATTAGCACACCAAGTGATTTTTAAACTGTTGTTCACTAAGAAAAACTATTCATTCTCTTAATGATTCAATGTCTTTTAAGTTCATCTCCTCAGATGATCTTGCTGGCTCTGAGCTAACACCACAAGGCTTGTTTGTGCAAAAGGGTTTTTTGTCTTTGTTTTCATAAAAACCCTTAAACACCTCCCAACCCCCTCCCCAAATCTCAAGTCAGCAGTGTTCTTGCAAGCAAAGCAGGCAGCACATCTTCTTAAGCTTTTCTTTTTTTTGGTGGGGTCCAAAAAAAATTTCTGCTGAGAGTATCTAGAAGATTTATTTGCAAAACTCTCACTTCTATTGAGCCAATTCTGCTTTAACTGCTCTTTACTGAATAATTTTTTTTCCGTTAACATATTTGAAACTTAATCTTTCTGGTCTACAAGATCCAGGCTTCATCACATACTAAGATGTACTTACAGATGTATTAAATAGCTAACACCAAGCGTAATGTTAATCCTTTCAAAGCACACGGCATCTGAGCAAAATGACATTTAAAACCTGACAATGAATTAGATGTATATTGTCATAAGCAACCTTGCCCTGAGCTACAGACAGCTGGATGACCTTAGGGGGATTTTCCATCTCTCATGTCTATGATTTACAGTCTTATCACTCAGCACTAAATGATATATATTAGAAGTCATTAGTTTTAAAATATTTTTATGTAATTACTGCACATTAAGGGGCTTGCAGTCAAATGTAATATACTGGTCCCACAGCTGATTGTTCAGTCTGCTGCAAAGCACAGCACAAAGTAATATGCTGCTCATTTCTCCACACCAGGTGAGAGCCCAGGACTGTGACTTATGCTCAGTGGTTCCACCCATGAGAATAAAACAACCAGAAGAGGCTCATTACACTTAAGAAATGGCCAAAATGAGCATAATCACAGACTTCACTATCCTGACCCCTGGAGCACTAATTTAGCCAACTATCTCCTTGATGACTTGCCAGTGTCTGGGATTGCTGAGGACAAGCAAGACTGCTGGGAAAGCAAGCTGCCTTTTTTTTTTTCTTTTTGTGAAAGGATGTGGTGTGGGACTTGGCTTTGGCCTGATCTTGTTTTCCTTGTATCAATTTCCAAAGCTTTCTTCATCCAAAAAAACAACAGGGGGATGGGTGGCTCATTGTGCAATCATGGGTAACAAAGATTGTGTGGATTAGTGAAATATATGCCTCACATTCATAACCCTTTCTGAAATCTTCACCTAACTGCATTGCACATAACACCAGACTCACTCCTGACACCACAACACTAAGTATTTGTCTCATTTTCTGCTGTTAAACTATGTGTCAAAAATCTGTTTTTTAAGCCTGTTCATATATCAGATGGAACAATCAGCACTGCCCACAAATAAACTGCAGTATTACAGCACTTCATCCCAACTAGAGACATAGAAGAAAGTTACCCAGAAAAACATAACATGGGGATACAGCAATTAAGTGGGACTCAGCTGTATCAAATCCAGTTTGCCTTGCCTTGAATACTACTTCTGCAGGCACCAAAGAGTACCTTCCTGTGTGTAGGAAGGGCATCAAGAGTAAGACAGCATGTATTTTGCCATATGGATGCTAAACACCTGGCTGAGTGCTGAGGCAGTTTCTTCCCATCCCACATTCCTAGATGCACAAGGCTTCGGTCATGTTGCAGACAGTTCAGGGTTAGCCACTGCAATGCACAGAGGTGACAGGCACCTTCTTACCTAGTGCATCATGAAGATACTTCTGCCCTACCAACTTCAGGTATTCCTCAATAGCTTTGGTAGCAAGTGTGTTCTCCCTGAAGATCAAGACATCATGCTCCCCACAACGATCTACCTCAGACATCACCAAATCCGTCAAGAAGTCCTGAAGGAAAAGGTCAAATGGCAAGAGGTTATTTTAAACATATTTGGTCATGCCAGGCTAACTGCAGAAGCCAAGAAGGGAGGATAAACAGAAGCCAGAAGATTACTAAAATAATTGCTCAGCCTGGGACAAGAGCTGCAGATGCTACATGTAGTATGGGCTAAGGAAATAGCTAAAGCTCCTCTAGGGCTTATTATACTTATAAAATTATATAGATCACAAGTTATAAAGGGAAAAGCAAAAATCTCTAAAAGAAAACCTTTATGGCCAGGCTTGTGTTTCATCCTGAGCAGAACCCTTCACCAGTCTATCAGTGGCTTTGTCTGCTGAAAGAAACTGTGATATCACATTTATCTTTTAATACTGAATATTCCATATAAACTTGGATTTAAAAATCCAGAATGGAAGTTAGACTGAGCGATAACTGTGACCTGCTGGTTCTTATGCAAACAGCAGCATCCCCCAACAGTTCAAAGAGTGCTGTAGTAAGGTTCACTGCATTAACTACAATATAAAAGCCATAATGCACTGTAAGTGTGTAAAATACACAAAACAAATTATGTATGCTAAGTATAGTTCAAAAATACATTAAAAATACTCCTGGTTTTCAATCCATTATTGCTGTTTCTTTTCTGCAAAATTGGAGAGAATTATATTCACCTGGCACAAACTGGGAGTATCTGGCTGCATCACCACCACATAGTGTGAACTGGAAATGTACCTTCTTAGCAGCTTCAGGTTATGGCAGCCTAAGCTGCTCAATGCTTCCAGTAAATAGAGGTTCAAACATTCAGGTGCTGGGAAGGGAAAGTTCTAATACTTAATTTATCTACCTGTTGTAGCTAGCACTGCAGGAATCCAGAGCCTATTTTCCAGCAGGATTTCAGCACAATCCTATAGAAGCTATCCAAGCTACCAGCTTCTCTTGAACAGACAACCAACCTTGTGTTCCTTTCACACAGTGTCACAGAGCACCAGAGGAGAACAGGGTACTGTGGCAGTACTACAGCTTGGTACTACTCACACACCCACTTGGCAGGCAGCATCCAGATAAATCCATGCTTGTTAATGCTTCTCAGACTTTCCCAAGACCTACAAGATATTGTCCCACAATCTATTTTAAGAAACTGAGGCTCACTCCAACTGCTGCCTTGGAGAGAACCATCAGCGTGCACCCAGAAGTCCTAATAACATCCCTGAGGCAGCTGGGATCACCATTAATTGAGTATAGATTCCCCAAATGGCTGTTCAAATGCTGACCAAGTCAATGTAAGCATTGATTCGCTGACTTAGCACTGAATCAACAACGGCATCCTGCTGCTCACTGTATCAGAGACTTATTTATAGAAGTAAGTAATTCCCCAGTTTACCAATCTCTTGCTTATTTATCTCTTATCCTCTATCATGATTTTAGAAAAACAGAAAACATTGCTGAAGACTCAAGTACAGGCCCTAACCTTTCAGGACAACATTAATTGTAGTCCTCCTGCTTATTATACTTTGTATGCAGCATCTTTAATCTATCAACTCTTAATCATTGTTTGTAGGATGCCTAGCTATATGCCTTCCTGGTAGATTCAATTGCCCAATTTTTTTCAAATATACTTTTGAGACCCTTTTCTCAGCCTTACCCCATCAAGTGCCTCCTGCTGTTGCTTATGGTCACAGGCTACCTAGCTTCTAGCTGAGGACGCATCACTGATCAGCAGTGAGAGGTAATCATTTTGACAGGAGATGCCTGTTCTTACCTTAGCTCTCCCAGTGCTCTGAAGAATGTGCACCAAAGCGCAAGCCATCTCTTCCTTGTTCCTTACACTGATCACAGGTTCCAGCACAGAGCAGAGCATAGTGTAGTTGCTGGTAACAAACTCTGCAAATTCTTTGTACTGCTCCATGGGCAAGATAGTGATGGTCTGATAACGGGACTTTATCCGAATGGAAGGTCCCCCTGATTTCCCTTTGTTGGGTGTAGGAGTGCTGACTGGGTACCATTTTTCCACAAATTGGCGACCGGTTACACTGGCCATGGGAATGTTGACCAGGCCTACGTAATTGTTCTTGTCCTTTTTCTTCTTCTTCTCCACATCCTTGTAGATGTGAACTGTGATGCTGTGAAGAGGTGGGAGACTGTAGAACTCAAAGTGCTCTCCCCAGAAAATGTTATCTGCTTTTGTTTTGCTGGTGGTGCGGGCAAAGAGAGTGTCATCAAGGCACAGCTCACAGAAGTATTTCTTCTTGGGGGCCAGGTCCTTTGCTTCAATGATCCAGAGACGGAGCACATTTTCAGCTCGACGGCAGTTGTCCTGTGCAGAAGAAAGAGCTCAGCTTGGATTCAAAATCCCTACAAATTGAAGATTCTGTCTTCTAAAGCAGTAGCAAAAGGCTGCCTTTTATGTCCAAGGTAGGGACAGGGTCAGAGTTCAGAATGCGATTCTCTGATCTTCAGAACCTCTAGAAAATCAGACATTTTCTAAAACAGAGGCGAAGGGCTGTCTTTTGTTTGCCAAAGGTGGGGACTAGAACATCTGTCTTCTTAAAAAGCTCTATCTGAAATGCTTTAGAAAACAAACACTCCACACAGAAGCCCTTCAAAGCTGCTAGACTGGTGTGGCACACTGTATTGTTTACTCTTGTGAATAAGGAAACTGTTAGCTTGTCCCTCAAAGGTAGTATGGCAACTATGAAGGTGACTTATCAGATGTTTCCAGCTGATCAATAACTTGACCCCCATTCTCACTCTGGCTCAAATTCCTTTTGGTCCTGTTTCCACCACCCCCCTCCCCCAACTGTGCCCCCACAGTAAAACATGAAACCTATGAAGACAAGTTCTATCCTTCTGAGGTACACGGTATCAGAAATCCAGTTTGAAACATCATAAGCACAGTCTGGGGCAGGTATCGGAAAGCACACTGACATGTATTTAATTCATTAAAGGTTTGACCTACTGCACTTACTAGAATAGTACACAGCAGCTTTCTGATACACTGATGAGTGGATGTCTCCTCAGACTAAATTAATGCATCTGTGTGAAGCCCTGGTACATCCAATCGTACCACCTCTATTCCCCAGTAACCTTATTTCCACAGTTTTTATTACCTTATTTGGCTGCACTGTCCTGCGTAGGTTTTCCATCCACTTGTCCCTCTCTGCTGCAGAGGAACAACTGAAGCATTTACTGCCACTGGAGTAGGTTACCTGGAACGTATGAATGACAAGCTGAGTTCAGGCAAGCCTAGGAGACATGTAAGAGGCTGCAAAAAGCAAGGAAGATAAGCAATGCCTGAGCAACAAAGTAAATACTAAAAAGCCAGGAAAACAATATGGGAGCCTAGAAGGCAGAGAGGTTAAAAGGCCCACAAAATGAAGAGAGAAAAAAAACCCCTCAGCTTGAATTAATATAAGACTAAAGAAACATATGAGGAGCACCAAAAGCTTCTCTTAAAGACTTTAAAACAAGGCTTTAATCAACCAGTTAATTTTTTTTTTAACTTGTTAATTGATCCACAGCTATTAAACACTTGCAGTTTTCCTTGTTAAGCTCCAGAGGCAGATGATGCGGATAGCATAAAGACCAACAGAACTAAACAGTGTATTAATATAAGGCAAAACACACTGGAAATGGTGTCTTCAGGAAATAAAAAATATTTCCAAGGGTCCATATATACAGCAACCAAAGCAGCTGTGCTCTGATCCAGCCCTGATGCTCAATACCATACACACTGAAACTGGTTTCAGTGCAGGAGGGAACTACCTTGGCTTCCTTCATTTTTGCGTGGCCTGACAAGCTTCGCTTACTCTTTCTAATCATTTCTGCACACAATTAAGAAGCAGTTTGAGGCAACAGCCTCAGAGCTAAGTTGCTGCCAGTTTTTTCACTCAACCCCCCAAACTGAAGCTGGAAAGCACTTCCAACCAGAAGAATGAGACAAAGCAAACAGGAACAGTTCCTGGATGCATCCCGAGGGAGAAGAGCCTGATATGCTGGTTTTCTGCCAGAGCAGTTTTCCAGGTTGTAAACAGGTCTTTGTTCCAGAAGTTCAGACACATCTGACTAATCCTACTGAAGACAGACTGTCACCCGTCCCTACCACGACAGATTATGATGGGCTTAGATGCATCCAAACAGCACACACGAATATGCTGTTGGTCCTGCGAGTCAAGGACTGTGCTCACACAAACAGCCTGTTTGTGAAGCAAAGCTAGGAGCCATACAGTGCTGTGCTGCAGGCTGTGCTGAAACAGCAAGAGAATCTTTGCATCCTGCTCCATGGTGCAATGGACATGACGGCGGTTACTGAAGCTTCTCCTTTATCAACTGGAGAACAGGCTGAGCTAATGCAAGGGGCTCTGACTGGAAATCACATTTGTCAGTTACAGTATACTTTCTAAATTTAATTTCAGGTGAATTTGGAGAGGATGAATACACAGCTTACGAACAATAGTATGTTTCAACCTTACATTTGCATGCAAACTACAACTGCTTAGATATTTATCAAATTAAAGAGATTTTTCACCTAGAAGATACAGTAATTGGAAAAGATTTCTCTCCATTGAGTGATTGATGCCATTAGTCTCAAAGACTTTAGAATTGCGTGCTGCTTAGGCAGCCCCCACCCAAACCTCAGGATAGCAGTGGCTGCTCATGTGTTCTCCAATTACAAAGTCACAGAAATGCATACTGCAAGGGTTCAGACCGACAGCATATAATTGGCTGTGTGTTTGGAAGGCACGCTTTACCTCAAAGCAGAAGTCTTGTCCAAGGATACTGCTGTGAAGTGGCTTGACAAAGACTTTTTCTTCTGACCCAAGATCCAGGGCTTCCACAGCGCTGCCCGGGCTCAGTAAAGACTCATGGGAACGGGACTCTTTCAGCTTTGGCAATCCACGTGACCTGTAGGAGAACAAAGGGGAAAGGAAACATTATTTTCCTCACAATTACCAAAAGAGTTGGCGAGATCTCAGAGAAAGCTGCAGCTTGTTGCTGTTTATTCAGAACAACTTCTACAATTAGTTTGTAAACCTTACGAACTCCTAAGGAAATACTCAGCTACACAAGCCTAGGAAGTCCATTCCCACTGACCTAGAAATTGTAGCTTCTGAGACATAAGTGAAAGAAAAGCAGTAAAACAAAGTTCAGCACTTAGCTGTTGAAATTTGAAAAAAAACTATAGGTTTGAATATACTGCTGAAAATATTTACTACTATCTGGACTACTAAATCAATGTTGTGCATCAACAGCAAGAAGCACGCCAATCTCTAAATGTCTAAACCAATGCAGAACGATAGCTACTTTCATTATAGTGACAACCCTTCCCAATACGCTTTTTCTTACTATATGAAAGCCTGTACAATAAAATAAAAAATGAAAATTATTTCCCTCTTCACAATGATTAAGTCAATCTCCTACATTTTTCATTTTCCTCTTCAGCTGCTCATTCCAGTTTTAAGTTTTTTTGTTTTTTTATTTTTTTATACCTCCATTCTCTTTTGACTTCCCCTCACTCACATACTACTTCCCTTTTTCAGTCCCTGAGCTTTACCAGAGCTAGCATCTCCCAAACTCACAGAACCTTTTTATCAAGGCAATCTTCTCTTTGCCCCTATCAGCTCTTGATTAGTCCTCAAAAACATATCCTTTCTTCCACTTCCATGGCTTTTTGCAACCAACTGCAACATTATAAAATGTGCTCTAACACTTTCTGTATACTCCCAATTCAATGTAACATTTGTGCATAGAAGGGCGCTCTGCTGTCAGTGCTGTAAAACATGCTCAATTTACAGGTAATGGTGGTTCCCCCTGTGCTCCTTCTAACTCCAAACTGACACCTGAACTGTAAGCTTCTGCAGTGAAGTCATGTGATACTTCAGGCACAACTAGCAGTTCTACTTCAGAAGGTAAACACTGCGCACACATTTTTCCTCTAGCTGTAACTCAGTCAAAGCCTTCACAGATGATGAACAAGGAGGAAAAGCAGAGAGTTCCAGCTTAGCAGAAAAGGAGCTGTTAACCTGGCAGGTCCAGATTTTGCCAAAATATTGAAGCTCTTGCTGGTCCCTATCCCTGTTCAGTGATCCATGAAAGTCTGTCCATAAATACAGCTGCACATCCGCCAAGTGTCACTGAGCACAAAGAACAGACGTGAAAGTAGAAAGGCACCAGTTGTCTGTACATTATTCAGAGAAAAGTGATGCTCAGAAATGATGCTCTCTCACCTGTGTTTGTTCTCACAGTAGTTCCTCTTTTATTCAATCTGCCTTATCAAGGCTTAGTATCAAATGTAAAATGTTTTAAAATGTATTTATGGAGCAGTGAAAAGCACAGCTACCTCTAAGACCTCCTTTATTTTGAAAAATAAGTAGTTTTTATGTACCTCCCTCACATATCTTATCCCCCCAAAAAGCCTCATTTTGTATCCTTAGCAAAATCAAATTCCTTCTACCCTTAAGCAATTCTATGGGGAAACACATAAAAAAACCCCCCACCATTTGGAAGAGGCATCTTCAGTACTTCTAAAGCTGCTTAACAGTAACTTGGTACCATGAAGGATACATGTAAAGCAACAAGCAGAGTTCATCTGACTGATCGTTTGTACAAAATGAAATGCTGAAGGTGTTCTGGTAGATTCATGTATGATAAGATTTATTAAACAGTAAGAGAGAACTTTGTTCCCATTTAATATATCGAATGACCTAAGAGCAGGCAGCAAAAACCTTTCATCAGAGGGATATTACAAAGACACTGATTTCAAACGCAAAACAACAGCACTGGTACAAATGCGTTGGCTGCACTGTGCATGCTTTGTTATAACAGGTTACAGCAGCAGCTGTACCAACGCAAACTGAAAACCACAGCCATGTATAATTGAACACTTGCTGCAGTTAAGGTAGGGCAAGTCTAAAATAAACACACCACAATACACCACTTTAATATCATCTCTGCAAAATCCTCTCTAATTTCTTCTCTCACGAAAGCACTGCTGAGGTCACTTGGCTTCTGTCCCTATCCCAAACTCTCAGCATCTCCAGCCCTAACCAAGTACTTCAGCGCATGATGCAGGGGAGCTGGCTGGGAGCCTGCAGACAACTCCCGTCTTAGCTCCTCGTCAGAGAATGAAATCACGGAGTGGGCATAAAGAGAGGGAAGAGGAGGGAAATAAAAATAATTGCCAAATAAAGGAGAAAGAAAAAGAGATTTTACAAATCCCAGTTAAGCAAAGGCTGCATTTCGAGTAAGACAAATAGAGCACACCTACATGAAACAGTTATACAGCCACTTAGCAGTGCATCCCCAAATCATAGCGGTGCCACATGTCACAGCCCTTCCTTTCAAACTCCGTGCTCTGCGCTACATCTCAGACAAGAAATCCTGCCAGGAGAGGAAGAAAGGCACCAAAATCCAGGAGGAACTCTTCCTCAAGCCTTAGGTTACAGATTTCAGACGAGCATCATGCCAGGCAGATACGCTGGGGCAAGAAGAAAAGTCACAGCCGCACCGGTAAAGAAATCTGTCTCCTTGTCTGCTGCGCTCCCACCCGGCCCCGCGGGTTCCAGGAAGAGGCTCCCGGGTGCGTGTTGCTATGGAGCGGCCTCCTGTAAGGAGATTAGGGGGAGCCGGCAGCCAGGAGAGGCAGCAGGCGCGGGGAGGCTGTGATGCTTAAAAGCTGCAAAGGTGACCTTTCCAGAAAGAAAGAAGTCCCTCCTCTTCCTTTAATGAGACCTGGACTGTTAAAGACAGTGGGAGAGACGCAGGCATCGCCCGCGGTGCCTCTGAAACAGCCTTTGGGGACAGGACAAGGGCAAATGCAGGTACACAGAGCAACTCTACTCCATGCCTCCACATCCAGTCTTGCAAGTTAAATCCTTTGGTAGCATCTATTCTGCTTTACTGCTCTTCTAACTAGTTAGCTTTGTACATTTTGTTCTGTTGCAGATCAGCCAGAGCATGGCTAGCTTTGTTGACTCATGGTCCTGGGGCAGAGGAAGTCTGTCTGTTACAGCAATCCCTTGAAGTTACCGTATTTAAAACAGCTCAATAAACTGATTAAGTGGTTTAGAATTGGCACTTTGTCTTCCATAAACACCAGAGTAAAGCTGTCGGTCCGATGCAACCACATGCATTTACAAACACATGCATTTGTAAACACTATGGTATTCATTTCATCTATTGATAGATTTGCAAAGCAAATCATCGACTTGTGCTTAAATCAGCAGCATCCCAATCAATACAGGCAACAATTATACAGAAATAATAGTTCTCTTATGCTTTAACACCTCATCTGATATTCAGATGCTGTAAGTACAGTGAAAGAAAATTACTTGCTGGCTTCCATTTTTTGGCCTCAGAGATGCCACTAACTTACTTCCCAATGTCCAGCAAATGGGCTGGATTAACAGGGTCTTTCCTGTATTAGGTAGGAAGCTACTGGTAAAATTAATATTGCTTAGATTGTCTGTTAGGAGAGAGGTAATCCCAGAGAAGCAGATTACTGTAAACAGGAAGATCACACATGCAAAAGGTGGGGGAAGGGTTGTTTGTACAAATCTGTTTTGTTAAACAGCTCCATTAACAACACAAATCCTGTTTTAAATAACAGTTAACTTCCAATGATCAGCTTCTTTCCTGATGTTTTTTCTATCTACTACATAGACAAAAAGATTGCAAAGGAATGACTTAGGAATTCAGAGCAAATAGTTAGCAATAGCACCAAACAATTCTGACATAGGTATTCTCCATATTTTTTTTCCAATAAGAAAAGCAGGTAGAGGAGGAGCATATCAGGGAACGTTTTAAACGTCTCACCTCTTTTTACATGTTCTGGAGTACTGGTCTTGAGAGCTGCATGATTCCCTTCTAAATCAGCCCAGCCAATGCCCCAGACCACTGACCTGGCAGCAGCATGCAACTGCCACTGAAATAGATCTCTTCAACAACACCATCTTGCTGGCCCAACCCCAAGCTGACCCTCTGTCCTTGCACACCATCATTCAGTAATTTTCCACTACAGGAAGATCTCAGTTGTAAGCCAGGAACTAGAAACCTCTGGCTTTCAGTGGCCGCCCATGGCACAAAGCAGCCTATTATCCGACTTCTATTACATTCTACTGTCGATAAGGCGTGTAGGATAAAGGGTTAAACTCTTAATTGCTCTGGTTATGAAGCTCTCCTGCTGATTTTGACCTATTTAAAAGCCAACCTGCAAAGCACAAAACACTCTCAATTACTGAGCTTTCCAGGGAGAGCACTATATTGCTTGGAAAACAAGCCTGTGGACATCCATATCCAAAAAAATAAAAAATAAATGTATGGAAATGAACTACCAAGGAACAAATCCCACAATCTGTTTCTTTTACTGAAGTGGTGCGAAGGCAAAGAATTCTGAGAAGTGTTTTCAGCTCAAGCACCCAGCTAAAGTCACATCTCCACCAGTCTTACAAGAAACTGGATGTCTGCATGCTTCAAATAATTCCAGCACAATACCCGTGTGTTTAGAGACACTCCCCAAGATCAGAAAGCTGAATTCGATACTTAGCCACTCGAAAAGTCACAGGAGAAAGCTTGGACTGTAGTGAACTTTCTGCTCAGCGCTGCTATTCAAAATCCCAGCCCTGCTGAACTGGACCCTAAGGTCTACAACATCATCGGCAATATACAGGTGTGCTCTACCAGTGCTGCAGCATCAGGTTTCCCAGTTCAAGTGTTCATTTTGCAGGCACCACACCCCGCTTTGTTTTCCAACTGCCAATTAGTAGAACATCGTATTACTTGGTCAACAATTCTGCAAGTCTAACCAGTTCCATTATTAATTTTTTCTTTTAAATCAGAAACTTAGAGTAACTTATTTAGATTCCAGTTCTGCTCAGCTGCAGTTAAACACTGGCTTTTTCTGCGCATACTGCTTTATCCTTCCACTGAGATTCTGGTCTTTTCTTGCAAGGCCCTACCCGAAGTGTTCTTTGAATCCTGGGTTTGCAAAGCCCTCCCCTGCCTGCATGCTCTCCCTACAGATCGCAGCTTGTCTAACAGACATCTCATATGGTGCATCCAAACAGGCTGCTGAATTCCATAGCGGTAGCATTCTCTTCACGCTACTATAACCGTGGTCTCTGCTATGAACGTTTCAAATTCTTTTGTTTTGCTGAACCAGAGATGCTTAACTGACTTGGTTTCATTTCACGAAGAATTTATGGGTGAATGCTGTGTGGATGAGCCCAGCATTTGCAGAAAAGCATCAGCCATTAAAAAGTATATTTTTATAAAGGGGTCAAGTGAGCCTGCAGATGGGACAGAGCAGTCTAGCGTGAAGATGAAGGAGAAATAGGCTTAACAGTGAGATCTTTTTCAGTTTTCACTGAAAAACAAATGACTGCATAAGGACTGAAAGAACTGGCTGAAAGAAATATGTTCATCAAAACAGGAGTGAGACGTCTCTCCAGAAACAAACCACTCCTCCCCTTTCCCTATACTCCAGTAGCAGAGCTGCTGAATGAATACAAGCTCTGAGTGAGTCAAGCCTTAGCAACATATTGTGTAACACAGATTTTTATCCTTACATCTAAATCAGGATAAAAATCACCCACCTTTTTTTTGAAAACCGGCATTAAATTATAATGAATGAGTATGAAAAACATGGCAAGATTTGTTTCTATTATTTATGCGATCTGTGCTATTTTCATACTGCAAAGAAACCAGTAAGGAGGAAGGAGCAAGAACTTACCGAAAGTAGAAAAAGCTGTCGTTTGAGCACCGGGACCGTTTCACCATGAACCCCAGAGCCATGGCTACCCTCTTCCCTGCAACCTGCTGGAGTCCATTCTGAGCAAGGACACAATGGATCCTGTGCTTGTCTACGACTATCTGATAATGCCATAAAATGACTTTTAGTAAAGCAGGAGGATTCCCACGTGGCAGTAAATCCCAACAGGGCAAAACCCTCCCAGCTGTCTGCAGAGCTTTATTGCAGTCGCTGAGACCATATGCAGCCGGTCTCAACCATTTTTGCTTCCTCACCATAAACAAAACTGAGGCAAGAACTGTTGGTCTACTTGGAAATACTCTCAAGTTCCTGGCTGCAAACTGAAAATATTAATTTGGACTCTCCTTTCAAATGTAATTTTCCTTAAGTCTTTTCTCATGCTTTTTAACATGTTTTATGTATTACTGACACTGAGAAAATGTTAAAGACAAACGTGTGGGTTGAAGTGCTCAAAGAATGCTGTGGGAAACAGGCTAGAAAAGCTGTGAAAGATGAGACAGTAATGTGGTGCCAGATAGCCTCATGGTGAGAGCTGTTGCTAACTTGGTGAGATGCTGCACTGGCCACATATTGGAAGAGCTTCATTCACATCTGGCATGAGTCACAACCAAGCAGAGCCTAAGTCTTCTCACATGAAGACAAAACACGAGTTTTCAAGTACAACAGACCACCCAGCAAAAAATCTGAAGCTGGAGTAGCAGAAGTGATGAGAATTACAGACTGAGAGGTTGTGGATTTCTACATGACCCCTGGATGCTGACCCATGGTGGGATTGTTTCTGGAGGGGTGCTGTAGCACTGTCCTCTCCCCATCCACTAACCCAGACACTCTAAGTTAAAAGCCAGCAAAGCAGGCTGGCCAATTGCTTTCTGCTGAAATAGAAAATCTGATTACAAAAAAAATATGCAACTTATCTCCACCACTCCCTCCCTACAGCATTTCTGAATCTTTTCTATTTTAAATCAACTCTGAACAAACTGCATCCATCCTCTGTCACCATCCGACATGGCATGCAGCGTTACAGTATTCCAAATCTTGATGCGCACCAGGATAACTAATCTTCCTTACTCCAGAATTTTATAGGTATTTATCTATAAACATATCCTGTTTCTTAACAGGAGCTAACACTACAAAAGCATGAGAAAGCAACTTGACAGCAGCCTCTATTTGCTTCTAATCCTTGCAGGGTTGTAATTTATAAAGTTGTATAATACTTTCTTTGAGACAGGGTTCTTGAATTTGTCAGAGCAAGAAAAGGTTGATGATATCGAGTCAATCTGGCCCTGAAAACCAGTATAACACCATGACATCAACTAGCACCACCTGCTTAAAATGGGAAAGGGCTGACTCACCAGGGTAGGACAGGAAAGTTTTTACTGCAACAGATAAAGACACTTAGAAAAAGCAGGAAGAGCAGAAGGTGAGAGAACAGCAATTCCCTCTCATGAATTAAGAGTCAGATGCTCTGTATTATCTTCTTCCAGGCAGAAACAGTTGTCGCTGATTTGTCCTATTGGAAAAAATCCCAAACAACAGCATAATTCTAAAACACAAATCAATCTTTTTAGCCTACTCTTTCCTCCAACCCATATACTCCCAGAATACTAATCTGTTCCTCATCTTCAGTGTTTCATTCCCACATGGTTTGAGTTGTTTTTCCTGCTGTTCTACCCACCAGTTGCATTTTACAGGCACCCCCAGATACAGAGTGAAACATGGGAGGGAAGGCAGAAATTACTGGCAAGTTTCACTTTACAGTGGAACTGTTTTCTTTATGGTTTCATTTATAAAATACCATTAGAAAAGTAACAGCTCTAACCATAAACTTTCAAAGTTGTATATCCAATTGGACTGTCTGATTAGACCACAAATGCAAAGACAACTCCTTTAAACCTTCAGATCTTTCCAGCAAAAGGTAACTACAAGGTTGAGTAGTGCTGTTACGCTTTCTTTCCAAAAAACCCCAAAACCAAACCCAAAGACCAAACCACCCCAATTCATCAGCAATTTTTGACCCTCATGGGCAGCATAAGGCTTTCAACAGAGCTTGAGGTGAGGCTCATGCTTTTCAACATCTACACTCCTTTGTGCAAAGATTTATCTTCAAGTAAAATTAATCTCAGCTAGCTTTCCACATCGCTTGACTACTCTCATGTGATCTCCCTTGCCTCCAAACTGTGCCCTCTGTTCACTTCAGCATATATACCTCAGAGGAGGAAGGACACACAGACTGGTATAAAAAATACTTCATTCCATTAGTCGCAAATAAACATACCAAGTCATAAAATCCTCAAAACACTGTTCCATCTCCTGCCCTACAGATGCAGGATGCTTTGCTATAAGACTAGTATAGAAGGCTAAAGGGGGAGGATGACTGGAGGGAATGTAAAGAGCAACCACCAGCTTGTCCCTGTCTAACATCTGGCACATCACTGGCTTTCTACAGCTTGTTCCTCCAGACCTCTGCATGGATTCTGTCACTGGAACTTCTCAGTCCATATGCTCCTGCATCCTCCTTTTTAAATCCTTGCCAAGGAGACATAAAAGCACTGACAGAACAGACCAGCTATGCTTAACGCTATCACGGCATGCAATGGATTTTATGCTTTGCAAGCCATCAAAGAAAATCCACATTTCATTCAAGTCTAGTTGACAATTCATGCCCACACTGGCAGAAGTAGAGGGGAATCTGGTTTTAACAAGAAGACAGCTTTGCTGTGTATAATATTATGTCTTAAACTGAAACTGTAGGGATTAATTGCAGCTAAATTTATTGGCTTTCCCAGTACAACAGCGTTTCCCTTACACTGCAAAAGGAAGTGTCAGAGTACCAAGTTAGGGAGAGACAAATATATTATTTATGGCAAAGAGATTCTTGCATTACAAAACTTCAAGCAAAACTGGCTACAAACAACAGTAAAAGTACAAGGTATTTTATGTACATGGTGGTATTATTTAACATGTTTGTGTTTGTGTTTACCGAGTTGCTTTTTATAGCTATGTTGTAACTCCCTGAAAATACAGATTTATAACAAAGCTTGTCTCAAAACAGAGTGGACATTACTATGACTATAGAAATCGCCCACATCGTTAGTCACATTTGATAAACAGCAGTCATTTCTGTACCTCAAGAAGTTAACAAGACCTCTAACATCGAAAGCTTTGCTATCTCCATGATTTTACGGTTCTGCCTTTCAGAGGGAGAAGATAGCACCATTGATTGAAGCAGCACAGCATGACAGATTCAACTACTGAATTCAACTCAGCTAAAGGAGAAGGGAAAATGCACTAAACTGCAGAATCACAGAAGCCTGCCGTGGCCTTAAATACAGGGCAACCTGTTTTTCACTCAATGTAGTTCTCCTGCTGGGCTACTGTGTAATGTAAACCAGCGTAATGTTTAATAAAACAATCAAGAGATTTTACAAATTGTTAGGAAAACTGGTGTAAGTGCTTTTGCTTGCCTCATCTACAATTCATTCCAGCCTGAACTGCCAGCCAAAAACTAAACAAGCAATATACCAAATGGAGCACTAAGATGGTCAGAAGTTACTGAGTTTTCCTGTTTTCTGAAAAACAGACCATCTGTTCACTGTAGTAACACTACAGTAACTATACAATCGACTGACATTAGCAAGGATTCTTAATGTGCCTGAACTGCACCACACATCTCTGGGCTTTGCTGGTGCTAGCTGAACTAATCTGCTCTCACTGACACAATTCCTCATATTGGCACTGATCTGCGGGTAAGTATTGCATTCATCAAGGCAAGTTTCTCTAAAGCTGGTCAATCCAATGGCTTTGTATCATGAAATTTAAAGTCTTAAATTATTTAAAACAGATGCAGAAAAAGGTATTTGAATCCATATGCTTAACCTGAACCTTTTGTCAGACACTACGAACATCAGAAGTTTCTAGTCCTGTGTCAGTAGTGCACTGTATACTAAGTAACTTCTAACATGTACTGGATTCAGCCCAAAACCCCACCCATCTGCGAGTTTAACAATAAATCCCATTCTTTGCTCTCATTCTGAGTGCATAGGCATTCTGCATGCAGCTTCTGCAAAGTGCGTCTGGATTAGGAGAAACTGTTTTGGGTGATGCATTGAACCTTACCTGTCATCAGCATTGCGGAGAGATGGGAGTCGGAAACTTGTGTTCCTGTCCAATTTCGACTGACTCTTTGTCCTCTTGATGGACCCTTTCAGGCGCTTACTGAAGAAGCCCTAAAATGAGAAGTTGCAGAAGTGAAACAGGGAAGCTGATTCCAGTAATAAATCAATCAGTGCACTGTCACTGAGTCCAGACTCGGCAGTGATTCCTGCTGACAACAAGCTGCATTGGGATTCCTCTGAGCAGAAAGGCAGGGCTAGATTGCCAGTGACAGTTCCAGTATGTGATAGCTTCAAATTGCAATAATTAGCACTACTCATATTACAGGTGCACTTCAATGAATTCCAACTATTACACAAGAAGATTCCCCCCCATCATTCAATAGAGTAGTCTTAGCTGTCAGTATTTGTTCCTACTTCCCCTTTATATGATACATTTTTAATTCTTGGTCAGATTAAAAGTACAAAATGCCTTTTATTATGAGCTGCTATTGCACCCACAGTTACACCCAGGTTTTCCTTTTTAATTTAGATATAGCACATTAAGATTTACAATAATTTGTATTTTTAATACAAAATTGAACTATCCAGAGTTGAAAAATTCAAGAGTTCATGTACTAGTTCTGGTATGGCTTTGAAGCAAAGCTCAACTCAAAAATCTACTTATAATCTAAAAATACTAAATCTTCAAATAATCTATGTTCTGAAATACAACTGTTCACCAAAAAAATCACAGACTAAAGCCATATTAGTTGGAGAGAGCCTCTGGGGATCATCCAGCCAGGCTCCTGCTTAATGTAGGTGCACTGCCAACACTAGGTCAGCCTAACTCTGACTTTGCCTAGCTAAGTCTCAAAAACCTCTTGTGATGGAGACTTTACCACCTCTCTAGGTAACTCAGTCCAGTGCTGCATTAGCCTTTGAGTGAGAAGGATTTTCCTTGTGTTCAATAAAAACCTCCCAAACAACAATCTGCAGCTGCTGCCCGACTATAGCATCTGCCACTGCAGGGAAAAGTTTGGCTCCATTATCTTTGTTAAGTCCCCTCTCCATTGCAGTAGGCTGTCTTATATCACTCCTTAGAATTTTCTTTCCCAGATAAGTCCTCAGTTTCTAACAGTTCTCCTTACTGATGCCATCAAGACCCACTGTTGTGTTACAAGTAGTGAAACATGAGTACATCTGACCACTGAAATACAAGGACAGGTATGTCTCTATAGGTGTGGGGAATCACAGAAATACTTCAAAACTTGCACATTTGATTTTCTCCTGTAGACCTTTAAATTTCTCCAAGTATAATATGCATTTTAAATAAGCCATACTGTGTCAAAATACTTCCAGGGCTTGCAGACATACATGCACATATATTCTTTGGCATGATCAACACAGAGGTGCTTAATCAATTACGATTAAGCAACATTTTACTGGCCAGATATGTTCTGCTCCGTCACAGATCAGCTGCACAAAGCCACTCTACCCTGTGCACTGCTGTTAGAGAGCTATTAAACCCAAGCAAATGAAGCCATGCTTGTATGAATATTATAGAATGGTTACAGGCTGGTAGAATTTGTTCAGAGTATGTTTTGGTGTATACTGAACCAGCAGGTCTAAAGCCTTACTTTAGTAAACGGCTAGTGACAGTGACATCCAGCTGGGGCCAGCCCGCTCTCCCATAGTCCGTGTTTTGCTAAGATAGAAGTTGAATACAGTTAATTTTGAACACATTTGCACGCCAAGCCTCTGCAAGCTGCAATTGGGGCAGGTAACAGACACTGCCCACAGCTGCCTCCTGTAATACAGAAATCAGCAAATTGGAGACAATAGAGAACACCATGAAAAGCAAGAGTTTTATTGGCTTCAGATGACTCGCCCAGGCTGAAGTATGTGACTTACCTCTCACACTCATAAGAATCAGGACATCACAACAAACGACTACTTTATCTATAATCTTTTAGTCTGAAAAAATCTCACATCTTTTTTACCTCTTCAGGAAGAAAATGAGGTTTATCTACAATTGGACAGGGTGCTATGTAATTTCCTCTAGACATCCTTTCCCACCAAAGGTTTGACCAGGTGATCTTTTGAGGTTCCTTCCAACCTGAGCTACTATATGATTGTACAGTATTCAAAAGAAAGGCCTATTACCCTCTTCTCATCAGTGGATGCTAAATTGCTGGTAAAGAAGTTGCTTCCAAACAGCAAAGCCTGCATTTGTTCAGGGTCAAGGCATATATTGCAAGCATCTCTAAGCCGAATTTCCAGTCTCACATTTGCCTTTATATTCCTGTACTTTCAGTTCCTTTTGAAACAAAATGTATTCCCTTCCCTTTAAACAAGCACACCCTTCAACCCCTTTACCTTTCTTCATTCTCTTATTCTTGCTCCTTTTACATTCAGTTTGTCCCTCTTCTTCCACACAGTTCACTCCTGCATCCTAACCCTTCTTGAAACCACAGTTTCCCTCTCTATACACGCTGGTAGGTGGGTTGTCTCACTCCTCACACTTGTTCTCTGTTTCTTTTGATGGTTCTCTGTTTCTTTTGGTCATTCATCAAAAGAAACAGCTGTGTTTTTTTTGTCCGAGTGAGTCCTGCTCAGTTGTCAGGTGTCAAAAAAGACCCACCAAATCCACAGCTCCTCAGGCCTATACCCATGACATCTGCAAATGCAGCGAGATGGCCTGTCTGCTCTCGCCCATTGAGATTTGGATGGTGATATATTACTAAAAGCCTATCCATACCTGATGCTGCTTGTAGGATCTTTCCAACACATGCAGCATATTTCCCAAATACTTCTGTAGGAAAGAACCTGCTCTCACACCAGAGCCTGACACACACTTGCCCACGGGCAGCACAGAGAAATTGGGATGCCAATTCGGATGATGCTGCAGGAAACAGAGGAAGAGGGAATCTGTTTTCTGCATCTGAAGGTAGAGCTACATTTAAAGCTGCCCATCAGTTTCTGAGGCTCACTAGCCAGCAGGCTTCTCTGTGGTGAAAGCTGCTATATGCTCTTGAAATAGGAAATAAAGTGGAAAGAAAAAGGCCTGATATCTAGCTACTGCAAAAAAACACCCATAAATCTTCATAGTGTGCTGGGGGGAAAGTTACTGTCAATAGGGAAGAAGTGGTTTTAGCTGTGTGTGCCACTCAAACTCTACCCATGTTCCTGCATTTTTCTTGGTCCTGGTATTGAAAAAATGCCTTTGAAAAATCCCCTGTAATCAATAGATGCTCTTGGACATCTCTTGGGGCCATTGCTGGAATTCAAGTAGAGGATGTATAGCACTTTCAAAGGCACTTTCATATATTTCGACCTCTCAGCATAAAAGGTAACAAACCCAACTACAGGGATTCAGATCTGGTGGACTGTGGCTTCATTCCAGTACCTCTCAGGCTACTCCAATTGCAAAAAAGAAATAACACTTTTTTTTTTCCCCTTAAGGGCAAATGAGACAAAGCTGACCCAGTTCAGCAGGGGTCCAAAAATATTTATATTTAATCATTCCAAATCCCAGTCAGAGAGGAACCGTGAATATTCATTTTTGTGTGCATGCACAATTTTAAATTAGCATTGCTTTAACATTACTGAAACATGTTCTTGGTTTAATTGAACATAATCTATTCCCTAATGAAATAAATCTGCTATCAGGGGCTGAATGAGGCTATCAGGCATTGACTACACACACACACACACACACAAAAAGCGAAAAAGAAAAAGAAAAAAAAAGGAAGAACATACTTAAGGATAAAAATTATTCAGACAGAGCATACTTATTGGTCATCTCAAAAAGACTTGTAAGCATTTGCAGTATTTGCTCTCTGCACCTTGCTAGCAGTTCACGCAGGGCCAGTTCTTACAGATGGACAACCTGGGAGCAGCATGAAAAATTCACATGTGCCAGAACCGAGCAGAGTTTTTCAACTGCCATTTGCCAAAGGACGTGCTTTTAAATACCGAATGCAGATATAAAAAGTGATGTAGTGATGAAAAATAAACTCCTAGGTGAAACAATACCATCTAATGGGAAGTTTTATTTCCTTCTACTTTTATAGAGAAAAACGCCCTGGCAATGCCAATAACTGTAGCTTTTATCATTAAAAAGACAAAACTACTCTTCTTTTGTTACTGCCTAGCTATTTCTCTTAAATACTTATTTCAACACAAAATACACTGCTCTTTGGTTCTTATATTTAACGGAAATAAAGTGTCTGAGCTTTAAGAATTATAATTTTAAAGACAGTGGGAATATTACTGCTTAAACAAACATCCTCAGACAAAGAGAAGTAAACTTCTTATCCAAACTGCCAGAAATTATGAGACTATGTTCTTAATAAAAAAAAAAGTACTAAATATCTGGTAGGATAAATCAGCTAGGATGCAAAAGGATCAGTACTGTGTAAACATGGTATTTTATGAGTAGTCCAGTGAGAGAATAACTGTAGAAGAATGTGCCTTATTCCTTCAAAAGACAGATTTGATGGTCCGCACCTAGTGGGACGAAGTTCAGTACAAATTCCCCTCAGAACCACAGGATTATAGAAACAAGGATGGAAAAGAAAGACAGGAGTGAGAACACACAAGCACACACCGAGTCAGGTACGTGGAAGAGGTTCAGAGCAGGTTCATCATCTCAGCCAAAAGCATCAAACACTGGGGTAAGAAATCCCAGTGATACATCATCTAAAAATAATTCAGTCCCACTGAGAAGTCTATTCATCTTGTTTGGAAGTTAAGCAACTCATCTCTCCCACTCTGCCAAAAAGAAATCGCCACAGAAGCGATAAATTCAGCAGGCTTTTCTAACTTCCCTCCATAGCTGCACAGGGAAGGTACAGAAACTCTGAATCCCAAATATTTTAAATTCAGGGATGGTTGTTATTCAGGGCAGTTTTAGCTTTACGAAATGTTCATTCTGTGCCAAAGATCACAACTGTCTGTCTGTCCTATTCTCAACAAAGCAGCACATGAACTGCCCAACAAATTCAAAGACAGCCCGAGTATGAATTACTCAACTTTTTGACTATTATTCCCTACAGACGCACCGATTATTCATTCTGGAGAGATGAGCCCATGCATAATAAATAATGATTGTCTTTGTTGTTTTGGAAGCG